TCAGTCCATCCGATATATCAGCTTATTAAATACAACTGACTTATAGGCAGACCGACTTATATACGGAGTATATACGGTAGTGGGAAGCTCCCTTATCATCTAAAAATAACCAAATAGAGAAAAACTCCCTCAACATCTAAAAATAACTAAACAGAGAGAAACTCCCTCAACATCTAACAATAACCAAATAGAGAAACTCCCTCAACATCTAAAAATAACCAAACAGAGAGAAATTCCCTCAACATCTAAAAATAACCAAACATTGGTCCTTAAACATCTAACAAAGAGAAAAAAAGAAACTTTCTCCCTCAACATCTAACAAGAATAATGATAGAAGCTTCCTCAACATTTAACAAATGCAACAAAGGCAAATAAAACACACAAAAATACTCACTTTTATATCAGCTTTTCTTGCTTAAAATTGTCATTCAGCATAATGTTAGAAACACAGGAAGATATAGGGCATATATTATACCTTTATAAGCAGGGATTTCCTTGTGTGAGATGATCCTAGATATCCAATTATATTTTGAAGTAAAAGTATCTGAAATGTTAATATATTTTTTTTTAACCATTACTTTTTAAGCCGATTCAAAACACAGTGTCATAAAATCAAAAGTGCATGTACATTGTATTGTGAAATGATAGGATGAAATAAAATTTTATATAATTATTGAGAATTGATTTATTTATCTTCTGTCTCATACATATAAACGTGTTAGCAAATAAACATATTTGTTTCTATGTAAATTGTAAAATCATTTTTTCTGTCTAATAAACCTATGCAATATTAGTTACAAATCAAGTCATTCAGAATACCTACATCCTGGGAGTGCCTGTGAAACACCAGTTTAGTACACAGTAGGTATTTGATCTTCTGTTTTGTGGTAACACTCCCTCCAATAAACTTCTCAACCAATCCATACCTATGTGGGTAAAAGACTTTTGACAGAGGAGAATAAAATTGGTCTATAGCTAAAGTTAAATGATGCGTGCATAAAACAATTCATTCTCTTGTTTGTGTAATTGTTTGTTGTTTTTTTTTTTTGGTTCTTGTTTTATCATTCTTTTTTTCAGAACAGGGCTGGTGGGAGGGGGTGTGTGCTGCAAATGTTTTTTCTGGTAGAAATAACAGATTGCCTGACACTGCTGAATTTGCATTTGTTTCAATCATGATGGGCTTGAAGGAATTACTGTATACAGGGAAATTTTCGCCCCTGTTTCATTTTCGCCCCTTTCGCCCTCTAATTGATTGGGCGAATTTAAAACGGGGTGAATTCAAATTATACATCATAATTTCTTAAACAGAACTATGACTGGGCGAATTTAAAACAGGGCATAATTGTTCACAAGTTCAAAAGGGCGAAAATAACACAGGGCGAAAATAACCCTGTATACAGTAATATTAAAATTATTACTTAAAAAGAAAAGGAGCTTGTTAAATGTGTTTAAAAAATTCTCTAATACCAAACACAAATATTAATGGGAAACACTATAAATCTCTTTTTTCCTATTGCTGTTATCTTACCAAGCTAGCCGTGACAGTAGGGCGGTGAGGGTACACTCTAGACACCGGTCTGGTACCCCCGTGATGATCCTTTCTGTTATCCTGCTCAAGATGTAATCCTCCCTCACGCCCCGCTCCAGAGGGGAGACAAGGGAACTCCACAGAATGACTGTCAACAGGAAAAGAATGAGGATTATAGTGCTGTGTATACACAATCACACCACAGAGTTAAAAAAAATTCTTTATTCCAGTCTCATGACTTTGATGATTATTTAATTTCTTATATTAATTTTTCAGATTCTTGTTAATGAAATGGCCAACACGGTTCCAAATACTAAGTATTTGCCTATCTGAAGAGTTGTAGAATCGTTTCATTATCATATTATTCTTTTTTCATATATATTTGGCACACCTCAACTGACAACAGATTTAGTTAAGGAAATCACAGAGTTTACAATGGGAAGCTACAGGTACAGGTATTTATTAAAGGAGTAAAACTTGAAATTCATATTACATGTAATATGAAGTGCAATCAATTAATAAAAGCATCAATATTCATTATCTTAAGTAATGGTATTGTGTTTACCATGCTTTTTGAAAATTAGTTTCTTCTGTATGCATTACAAGTATATACCTGCATGACCTGAGATGCAGACCTTGCCGATCACCCTGCTGATGAATTCTAAGTGTATGTCTTTGTTATTTTTCAGTTTCTGGTGCATGATTTTCAACACTTGCATGACCTCATCGCACAGCAGAGGAATGTATTGCTGAGGATAAAACTTCTCACTGAAAAAGATGAAAAGAATATATTACAAATACAGATGTATACAGTAAAATACAGTTTATAGCCATAAGCAAAAATGCTTATAATGAATTGAAGGTTATAGCAAAATGATTTCAGATATTCCTGGTAGCTAGCTCTTACACTTAATGAATATAAGAAATTTCCCAATTGTAACAAAGCTGAAACTTCTGTTCCTGGCACTAAGTTATTTTATTGTACAGGGATTTAGTGTGTGAGAACACATGTATACACACATGGTATTATTTTGTGACAATACAATTGGATACAGACAGTGATTTTGACTTTCTATGTTAAATGTCAACTCAGAGAATACAGATCGAGAGTAAAATCTCCACCATAACCAGATACCGGTACATTGTAAAAACACATTACAGATCAAATGACCTAATTTTGTCATACTGTAAATGAATCATTAATAGTAAGAGTGTACGATATTTAGCCTAAATAGATATTTGAATATTAGCATAGATCTGATTTATCATGTTTATAGTGCATTTCTCAATGTTCTTTTTTTGTTTATGTGTGCAAGGCATTTAGCATTGAACTTGAATTAGCAGGAATTTATCTTCACCAAAAGCCTAAATAGAATACACAGCCATATGTACAGTGATATGTTTACAGTATATATCATTTGAGTCACCTATTCTGGAGCTGTAGTTTATTTGCTGTTTTGTCTGGAAGTGTGGCCAGCAAACTTATGAGATCCTCCCACATAAAATCCAGACTCCTATCTGGAGTGGACTTACAGGCTGTCGTCAGTATCTGGAATAATCCACTGTTATCCAGGAACTTCTCCATAAGAGATACACACTTATTTAGTCTGAAACCCAGTCTGTAAAATATGAGAAACATAAATACATTGCAATTGCTATTTCTATTCATAAATCATACAACTAATAATTATAAACTAGAGATGGATTGAGAGGGAAGAGGGATATTCTTATCAAATTTCCTCATCAAGAATTTCAAGATGATCCTCATACAAAACCAGTGAATGGAAGTCAAATGGTTCAGTTCAGCCTAGTACAGTGTACATGTACCAACACCTGCCTTGACATGTGGCTAAATTGTTTTCGAGGTCTAATCCGAAAGATCAACAACTTTCTTTTCAAAGGAGCTGAGCCATTTTCTTGGCATAGGAAGGGTTGCTACATGTATGTAATTTACAAAGAAAATAGGTTAGTACTTGCAGCAAGGACTTGAACCCATGACCTTCTGATCACCAAGCAAGAGCTCTTCTTAATCAGCTACTAAATATATAATAGTCAATTTGACAAAGGTTTTCTCGTTTAACTAACATTTAAGGAAAGGATATGCATGGAGATAACGAACAGTATTCAATCTCAAAGTCCATAAAACAATACAAAATTAAAACAGAGCAAACAAGGACCCCCGAAACATCAGAGGTGGGATCAGGTGCAAGGGAAGTTTATATCTGAACCATGTAGAACAGTCCAGTCCAATACGAAAATTCGTAATTTTACGAAAAAACGTAAGATTACGAGAAAGCGTAATATTACAAGTTATCGTAATATAAAACTTATATTACGATTTTTCGTAATGTAGTTAAATTACGAATATGCGTAATATAGCAGATGTAAGAGACTATATTACGAGTTTTCGTAATCCAAGACAAATTCAAGCATTGCAAGAAATTGAGTGGCGGGTAGCAAAGTATGGCGTTTAATACGAGATGTCACGGGCGATAACTTGTACGACGCTTACTGAGATTTGAAATTCTGTGTATTTTAATAAGAATTGCACGAACAGTTGAATTATGAAACGAGGGTGTGATTTTTAGGGTAGACTTCGGAAGAAAAGTAGGGAGTTCGGGTGATATAGACCTATGCTACATGCTTGAGCGAATATTGAAATTTACTGGAAAATTGGTCTTATCCGTGGGAAAATTCCTATAAAAAAATAATAAAAGAAATTGTCCACTCACCCATCGCTGGCGATACTTTCTTCTTGAATTTCCATGCTTTCTGATAGGCGTAACTGACCAATCTGACCGCATGCTATCATTAGCCGTGGAATCTGATATATTACTGACGTCATACTTTGCTACCCACCACTCAATTTCTTGCAATGCTTGAATTTGTCTTGGATTACGAAAACTCGTAATATAGTTTCTTACAATCTACTATATTACGTGTATTCGTAATTTAACTACATTACGAAAAATCGTAATATAAGTTTTATATTATGAAAACTTGTAATATTACGAATTTTCGTATTGGACTGGACTGTAGAACTTACTCTAAATTATCCACACTCCTCATCAGCACAGTAAAGGCACCAACTGCATAACCGTCCAAAAACACCTTATCAAACAGTTCTGACACGTGTTTATGTTCAGGACTTGTAAACCACTCCACTTGTAATGTGTCAATAAAAAATTTAAGCACTGTTGGGTAAAATTCTGTCAGGAAAACTTCACGAATAAAGTGAACATCTTGGAATTTGGAGCTAACGGTCTGTTCGTGCCCAAGAGTAATTTTGTAAAATTCCTCGACGGCATTGGTCACCTCGTTTGTGCTTTTCGGATTTCTCAGAATATTCTCTGTCTCTTTGACATATATCCGCATCTTATTCCTTAAAATATTCATATTTGTTTGAAGTAGGGATGTCAACTTGAAAAAAAATGCGTTTTCTTTACAGTCAACCCTCTCCAAACAGATTTGAGATTAAATGCCGCATTTCCAGTAGGCTGATGAGAAATAAAAAGCTAGAGTTTTCATCCCCACAAGGACTAAAGGAGAACAGTAAAGCGAAATGCTGTTCAACTCGAATTTGCTCGTGTCTTAAGGTATTTTTTGTATATTGAACCCGACTTCTTAAGGAAGAAAGTCATTGAGGTTGTTTCTTTATATTTTAAGTCTTAAAAAAAATTGTCAAGAATATTTTTAGTTTCAGCACACCCAACTTGATAAATGAATAAAAATGAGGAGTCAATATGCTTCTTTGGCGCTGCGGTGCATTTTATGTGACCTCTTTGCACTGAAATTACATCTTCGAAGTTTAAATTTCCCTCCAATAGTTTTTATCCAAATAAATCATGTCAATCTAGACTATTTTGGTTCCTAACAAACCCTGTCAAAATTTAAGAACTCGGTTATATGCTTTGTTAGCTGCAGAACTGTACGTAACTCTCAGCAAAAAAAATATATATATTGATCTCAATTTCAGGACCAGGAGGCCTATATATTAACTATAAATATTTATTTTTTCGGAGAGCTACAGTTCTTCAGCTACCGCACGGTCAGAAAGTGGCGATTTGTGGTTCATTGTAAATGTACGACAATTGTTTTATCACCTGAGATGTTTTCAGTTTACCGATTTTGCATGTAATTCTTGTGTTTTGGCAAACGTTCACTTATATACTCTGTAATTATCGCAGACAAGATAAGAAAATCGACCATTAATCTACGTAAGGACAGATGATACAAACAAATTTTTTCTTTGAAAAAGGTTTAATATCGTGAAACAAGTTTAGAAAAGTGGATGGTTCTTAGAATTTTTTCTCCTAAGAACTGGAACATGTAAAAGACTTGGAAAATTTTAGTAATATTTCAATGGAAAAACAAATATTATATAATAGACAAAGCACATTCAGTAAAGGTTTACAGGTGAAAACAAATTTCAGAATATCTTAACATGGTGCTAAAAGTGTAATATAAATTTAAGAAAAATATACCAAGCCAGGTGAATTTTATTAGGAAAAGGTAAATGGTTAAAATCAGCCTATGTGATACTACTAATTTTTTGTCATTTTTCTCAATTTCTTTCTGTAACATATGTGCAAAGTAAAACAATAAACATACAATGAAACAAGAGGCCCATGGGCCTTATAGGTCACCTAAGCATTATGCAACAACTTTCCAGTGTTTGAATTTGATTCATGTTTTACGCAAAATGCTATGGCATTCACAATTTTGAAAGAGGCATCATTGATCATAATTAACTATACACTTAGCAGTTGCTTAGTTTGGTAACTTAATACTCACAGTGTCCTTTCTGACATAATTCATTTTATCAAATAAATTCTGCAATATGACTACTTATGTTTAAAGATAAAATTCAACTTTGAATTTTAGTAAATCAATATTTCAATTTTGTTTAATGTATAATATGGTATTTGATATTATCATTTTTATTGTTTCATAGGAATTAGACAACCTAGATTTTATTTTATTTCATGATACAATTTGAAATGTAAGTAAAGAAGTCGCTAATAAGTATTTTATTTGACAAAAAAAAAAAAGGAATGTCTTTGAAGAAAAAAATGAATACAGGTAATTTTCTAAAATAAATAAATTGTGTTACTCAGAATATTTGGCATGAGGGATTAGTAAACTGTTGAAGCCTTTATACATACAATTATGTAATTTTGTTGGAAAAAGAGTACAACCGTAATTTGTAGATAGGTGATGTGTTTGTTGTACAATTCTTTATGGTTTCTTTTATCTTTTTTATCTAGTGTCAAAAATGCTATCACATAAAGTAGAATCCATTAACCTATTGTTAGGGGATTAACTGGTTAAGTGACAGGTCAAATACTAAGGTAATGGTCAGTCCATGTCACATGATTTTTCAAAGTACGAGTTTTCGGCTATTATTAATACAAATTAACAAAGAAAAACTAATTTGATTGGTTAAAAATAATTTACGGCAAGCGTGGGTCTCCGAATGGAATTGCGCCCGCTCCTTGGCCATTCTATTCGGAGACGTTAATAAAGTTGTATCGTTTTTAATTTCATCCACGCTTTGCTTTTTCATATTACAGCGCACCCAAACCTACATTGGACCTGGTGGCTGGAAAGCAAAACCATATCTTAGGGTCTCTCATTACGCCAGCGAGTTATTTAATTAACTTCCCAAATTAAGTGCGGTCACCCAAAAGGGCGACACGACAACTGATGGGGTATCCAAAACCCGGATGAACCGTGTTGTGCAGTGGAAAGAAAACAATACCTATCATCGATACAACCTTAGAAAATACCGCACAATGCCAGCTCCATCTAATTCTTCAACACCTGAGAACTCTGACATTGTTGAGGAGGAAAACAATCAGGAAGTGAGTGAGTTACAAAGAGAAGTAAGAAACCAACGTGAGGAATTGCAACGGCTCCAAGACAGAAGAAACAGGGAATTAGATGACAAGGACGAGGAGATTGAGGCTCTTAGAAGACAGTTAAGAGACGTATCAGCAAGACCACAACAAACGCCTATAACATTGGACCCACCGTCTTCACTAAACCGATTCGGAAGTTATCCAAACAATGCGCAAGGGAGTTCTTCTTTTCCCAAAGTGAGACTTGAAAAATTCAATGGGAAAGTGTCTGTTGTCCAATGGTGGTACAAGTTTATCACCTTTATTAACCTTCAAAAGCTAACGGAAGAGGTGGCTATCAATACCCTCCCGTTTTATCTGGAAGGGGCTGCAGAAAGTTGGTTCTACGCCTTAGACGGTGCCGTCAAGTCATCATTGGAGTCCATTCGCCGAGCTCTACATAACAGATTCCAGCCGTCCTCCAGACATAACTTACAATTAATGGACGTAAAACAAAAAGACCAGGAAAGTGTAGAGGACTTTATGCACCGAGTGACCAGTATGACCAACGACCGCAGTGTAGACCAGGACTGGTTAATTACAGTAATCATTAACGGACTGAAGCCCGACATTAGTGCCGATGTGGTAAAGGATGACCCTCATTCATTAGAACAACTGAGGAACTGTGCATGCCGAGCCGAACTTGCATATAAAATCAGGCAGAAAACATCATCAGTGCAGGACTCAACCAATCTAGCCTTGTTAAACGCTCTTCAGGATGTGAGAAGTGACATAAATGTTATACAGGAGTCCGTGAATGATGCCCAGTTGTCTCAGCAAGCACCGACAAGAGAGTCCCAACCTTGGAGAAATAATGGTGGACCAGGAAATGGTGGAAAACACTATAACCAGGGCAATGGTGGAAAACACTATCATCAGGGGAATGGTGGACACCGCTTTCAACAGGGAAATGGGGGACACCGCTTTCAACAGGGAAATGGTGGACACCGCTCTCAACAGGGAAATGGTGCCTATCAGTACTCTCAACAGGGTAGACCGGAGAACCACTACCAGGGATCCAGATTCAGACATCCACAGAATAGGCCAAGCAGTGGGAGAGGCTCCTGTCACAACTGTTCTGGTGAGTTATGCGATTCTTTCAATTGCAATGCTAAAAATGTTAATATGTCAAGTTGTTATTTTTGTGGCAAATTGGGTCATTTTAAGAAAACTTGCTCTTCATATGCGCAACACCTACAGCAATGATCACGCACAGTTCCACACTCAAAATACCACGAACACACTTCCTCTTTTCAAAACAGTCCACAATAGGGGTGCGCGCCTGTCTTTAGAAAACATTCTAGAGATGGGCAACATGAGAACCAGCCACAAGTCAATCTAGTGGCACACATGACCAAGAATACAATTCCTCTGCAAGTTGGTGGAAGAAAAACTAGTGCTTTAGTGGATTCGGGTGCTTCAGTTACAATTATGAATTTAGAGTTCTTTAGAAAAACTAGTTATGTTCATGATAAGTTAACATCACCTGACTTTCAATCAGTTAAGGGTGCCAGTGGCAAATTGTTACCTGTGGTAGGTAAGTTAGAGATGAAGTTAGATATCAATGGTCAGGATTATAACTTCTCAGTGCATGTAGTAGATGGTTTACACCATGCTTTCATTTTAGGGGTAGATTTCTTATGTGCTAACAACACTACTCTTAGGTTTTCTGAGACCAATACACTACACATTCCCGATCACAATGGTGATGCCAATGTTTGTTCAATTTCAACCAACAATGGTTATGCTCGTGTGAAATGTGCAATGAAAATTCCCATAAGGTGTGAAATCAATGTCCCTGTACATATTTCAAGACAAAAGTTAAATGATCAAGTACTGTTAGAACCCCATGAAGAGTTGCAATCTCTACAATTATCTGGTGCTAGATGCTTAGTAAGTATCAGAGATGATGTGGTTATGAGGTTGATTAATCCTTCATTTGAGGATGTGTACTTACCAAAGAATTTCGTAGTAGCTTATGTGTGTGATGTGCAAACTCGAGAAGTGTATGACTTAGAAAATGAGACCATGAGTGTCAATGCTTTGAATCCAGACAATTCAAAAAGTCAAAAACCAATGAGTGAAATTGCATTTGATTTAGACAATTCTGATTTAAATCCAAATCAAAAAGAGGTTTTACTGAAATTTTTGGCAAAACATAGAAGTAACTTTGCAGTTGACCTCAGTGAACTTGGAAGGACAGGGGCTCACAAACATAGAATTGAAATCAAACCAAATTCAAAACCTGTTCGCCAACAGTTTTACAGAACATCACCTCAAGCTTCAAAAGAAATTCAAAAACAAATTTCAGAAATGTTAGATCACGATATCATACAACCATCAAATTCAGAATGGCATTCGCCAGTGGTTTTGGTAAAGAAAAAGAATGGCCAATTTCGTTTTGCTTGTGACTATCGTGCTTTAAACAAAATTACAGTGCCCATGTCCTTTCCACTTCCACATTTAGAGAGTGTTTTTGATGCTATAGGTGAGGCTCGAGCAAACTACTTTACAAATTTAGATCTCATGTCTGGATTCTGGCAAATGGAATTAGATGAGGAAAATAGAGAGAAAGCAGCTTTTATAACAAGAGAGGGAGTGTATGAGTGGAAACGTATGCCATTTGGTCTTACTAATTCCCCCATTTCATTTCAAACGCTTATGTCAAATGTGCTGAGAGGGTTGAATTGGAAATCGGTACTTGTCTACGTGGATGATATTCTCATCTTTTCGCGGTCATTTGATGAACATCTGAAACACTTAGCGCAAGTGTTTGATCGTCTGAACGAGGCCAATTTGAAACTGCAGCCATCAAAATGTCACTTTGCCGTAAAAGAAGTGAAGTTCTTAGGGCACATTATATCACGTAAGGGAGTACAAGTTGACCCTGACAAGACCCAAGCTGTCAGTGAGTTTCCCATCCCCAAGAAACAGAAACAGGTACGTAGCTTTCTGGGTATGGTAAATTACTATCGGAAATTTATCCAAAATTTTGCTAAAATTGCTACCCCCCTCAATGCTTTGTTGTGTAAAGAGAGAAAATTCCAATGGTCTGAATCTTGCCAAAATGCTTTTGAGACCCTCAAAGACAAATTATTATCAGCCCCAATTTTGTCATATCCAGACACCTCCAGGTCTTTCATATTGACATGTGATGCCTCTGACAATGCCATTGGGTATGTGTTAGGCCAAATAGATGATGAAAACCGAGAATACGTTGTAGCGTATGGAGGTAAGTCTCTCAGTCAAGATCAGCGGAAGTTCAATACCACCGAGAAAGAGTGCTTAGCAGTACAGGAAGGTATTGCCGCATTTCGACCTTATTTGGTACACAGTAGGTTTACGGTAATTACTGATCACAAAGCATTGGTCTGGTTGCAAACTGCAAAACATACTGGTCGACTAGAAAGGTGGGCTCTACAACTACAAGAATACAACTTTCAAATCATGCACAGACCAGGTAAGAGCAATTTAGTGGCAGATGCGCTCAGTAGACGAGAATATCAATCTGGGGTAAGTGAAGCAAGTATGGTAAAGAGTTCAGAAGAACAATACTCTAACAACTCACTAGAGGGAGAAATGGCAGAAATAGTACACTTACAGGTAACTGACACTCAAATCAGATCAATTGGTATACAAACATCAAATGTATCTGATTCAGACACAGAGAGTGAAGATGAGGGAGATGAACAGCCAGAAAAATCACTAAGTATAAGTTCAATCAATATTCAAACAGAGAGTCATACAAATACATTAGTGGACGAACAGAATCTCATAGAAGATGCTTGTTGTGTAGAGGTAAGTTTCACATATGCAAATGAGGAACCAGAAACCTTCGCTATAGAAGAAGAGGAAGAACCTGACGAACATCAGCAAATTCCACTGGATGTAGCCACTATTGGCCAATTACAATCCCAATGCCAAGATTTTCAAGACATTTATAGATACCTTAAAGATGGAACATTACCAAATGAAGTCAAGACTAGAGATTCAGTGATAGCAGAAGCCAAACATTATAGCATGGTAGGAGATGTGTTGTATCACTGGTTTCAGAAGAGATGTCGTAGACCTCATGGAGAATTCAACTTCATCAAGCAAATCGCGCTGCCTCGAGTGCTTAGAAAAGACGCCTTGTTGTCCTATCACGACAGTCTGGCAGGAGGAGGGCATCTAGGCATTGAAAAAGTAAGGACGCAATCTACCGCAAGTACTATTGGCCGCGTATGCACAGTGACATTATCGAATACGTGAAATCTTGTGACCGTTGTCAACGCGCAAAACGAGATTACAATCCGTCCAAACCTCCAATGAACCCTCTTCCGACAGTGCACAAATTTGATAGGTGGCACATTGATATTTTGGGTCCACTTTACAAAACGAAAGAGGGGTACGAACACATTTTATTATGTGTTGATTCATACACTAGATGGGTGGAAGGTTTCCCTATGAGAACTCAAACAGCAGAGGAAACTGCAAATATACTGTTTACAGAAATTTTCTCTAGATTTGGTGCTCCAAAAGTTCTTGTTTCGGACAGAGGTACAAATTTCATGTCAAAATTGGTAAAGGCATTATGTGAGATTTTTGAAATTACTAAACATCAAACTTCGGCTTATCATCCAAAAACAAATGGTTTAGTGGAAAGACAAAACAGTACACTTGCACAATCTCTGAGGGCATATTGTGGAAAAGCTCAAAATAATTGGCCAAAATTAATTGCAACTATTTTAATGGCCTACAGAAAATCACCCTCAATGCATTCCACGAGTTCTCTCCCTTCTTTTTAATGTTTGGGGAAGAAATGCGCCTCCCATATGATATTGCGCTTGAACCGCTTGAAAACATGAGTAGGGACACAAAAGCCTATATTAATGAGTTCCTAGAAAATCTTAAAGTCCATGATGAAATTGCCAAAGAGAATATAAAATGGCATCAAGAGCAAAACAAAAATAGGCATGACTTCAATGTGAAAATCCCAGATTTCAAACTTGGTGATCAAGTATTGATCAAAATTAACAAGGTTCCAAAGGGGTTATCTAGCAAACTCTGTGACAAATCTGAGGGACCTTATGAAATTGTTGAAATTGGTCCCAACTTCACTTATAAACTGAAAAGAAAATCAGACAACAAACTTCACATGTCAATGATGAATGCGTCAAACTTGAAACATTATTATGATGAAGATGAAAGACCCAGTTTTGAACAACCAGAACCCCAAATACAAATTCAGAAGGATCAAGGTCAAGATCCAGTTGATCCATCTCAAGGTCAACAGAATAACGATACAGTACAAAATGGTCAGGATCCAGTTGATCCACCTCAAGGTCAACAGAATAACGATACAGTACAAAATGATCAGGGTCAGTCTCAAAACGATACAGGTAATGATCAAGGTGAAGGAACAGTTGTTCCAAATAATGCAAACAATGAACAAGGTCAAGGGAATGAAGATGACTCAGACTTGTTAGATGAAGAAATACATGATCCAAATAGAAAATGGAAATTTAAAAAGTTTCTAAGGGGCAGATTTAAGAATGGGAGAAGAGAAATAAGAGTAGAATGGGAGGATGGTTCCAAGATATGGGAACCTGATCACTGTTTTGATGACGAGGTTATGGAAATCATAAACAAAAAGTTCACAAAATTAGGAACAATCAGGAAAACTTGTTTTAAAAGAAAATATTAAGTACAGATGTGTAACAAAAGAAAATCATCACAAATCATTAAGAAAAAAAAATGTTTATGCCAAAACAATTGTGTACTGCATAAATATCTTAATGCCAACATTAATTATTATGATAAAATCAAAACTTAAATAACAAAGAATAAATACATAAATTAAATGTGAGAGGACACCTCATAAATTTAACTAGGGTAAAACAGTTTGGATTTATTTTATTTTAATTTTTTTTTTAGTTATATGTATTTACAAGCTTATGGGCTTTTGCATTGTGGTCATAGTGAAATCCCCTATAAATTGGCTAGCCATTCATTTTTGCTCAAGAAAAAAAAATTTAGTAAACATTTGAACACCTAAAATTTTGAACATAAATAAAGAAAAAGAATTATTGCTGTGGTATAGTCACATCATCCATGTAGTTAACTCTGCAGTAAATTTTAGTGCTAGAAAACACGAATAACGATCGGTTCTTGTTTTCACGACAATTTTGTACCACAACCTTAAATTTTTTTTCTATACCTATATTTGTAGGAAAATTTGGGGGATTCCACAATACCATGTTCCTTGTGTTAGCTGTTCTGACCGTGTTAACCACTACAACCCAAGCAAGACCCGAGAAAATGGAAGACAAAATCGTACAGAGAATCAATTATGGGGTAGTTTTTAAAGAACAGTCCAAAATTATTTTATCTCAGGAGTATTGGCTCCATACCTTTCATGTAAGACTTCCAAAACGAGTTCATGTATCTAAAGTACCTTTTTGCAATGTTCATGCTTTTCGTCAAGGGTGTGTTTTGTTAAACAATCTTGCAAATTTTGTTCAAGGATTACATAAGGAACCTTTAATTCATTTCAATGAAACCATGCGCCAAATCAAAACCTTAGTTCCTCAAACAAATATTTTAAATCAAGGTAGACAACTCCGAGCTTTACTTCCATTTATTGGTTCACTGTCAAAAAGCATTTTTGGTACTGCAACAATCGATGATGTCAACATTTTAGCTGGACACATCAATGCATTAAATAGGAAAACAGAAAATATTGTTAAAGCACTCCAACAGCATGGATCTCATTTGTCATCTTTCATTACTGTAAGCAATCACAGAATGGACAACTTAGCTGCTGGTATTAAAGAAAATTCAGAGTACATTTCTAAAATCGCAACTGCTTTTAATAACAAATTGTATGATTTGGAAAAATCTTTTGTAAATGTATCAAAGATTTTAATGTCACAGGTTAACAGAGCTACTCTTTTAAGATCTGACTTTGATAAACTATCAGCAGCAATTCAGAGTTTATTAGAAGGGAAGATAACTCCATTTTTGATTCCCAAATTTTTAATCACCAGAACTCTTTCCAACATAAATTTCAAACTGAGAAAATCATACAAGAATTTTTACTTAATTCATACAGATTATTCATTTTATTACTCTCATGAAAAGTTTTTGTATGCAAGGGACAAAGGATCATTATTTATTACTGTGAAATTTCCAATCTCGGCACAGAAGCAACCTTTACAATTGTTCAAGGTCATTAGTTTACCTGTCCCTACCTCACCCAATGTAACTTCAGACATGCATGCTACACAGATTCTGTCCACACCAGATTATTTTGCAATAACAAGTCACCATGATTATTTTGTCTCTTTATCAGCAGAAGATTTAGTTAATTGTGATAATGGACCCACTATATTATGTAATTCCAATAGGGCCTTGACCCCTATAACTGAACCCGATTGTACAATGGCTTTATACTCAAATGATGTGAAACAAGTTCAAAAGTTATGTGACTTTAGATTTATTACCTCATTACTAAAATCAAACATTTTTGAAATTACATCTACCTCAGTTTTGTTATATAATACACCAACTTTGGTCTTAGATTGTCCAAAAGAGCAAAAGGTTTTGAAAGGGTGTACATTCTGTATCATTCATATTCCCTGTAGATGTTCATTGTCAACCCAATCTCTGTTTTATGCCCCAAGATTAGTGGATTGCTACAACTCTTCTTCAAATTTTTCAGTGATTCATCCTGTAAATTTGGCATTATTACAGGAATTCTTTGACGATTCTAAATTAGAACATGTGTTTGGGGATAGTTTATTTCCTACACTAGTAAATATGTCCATTCCTGAATTGAAATTTTACAATCATTCCATAAATCAAATATTGATAAATGATCAAAAAGACCATTTGAGTTTAAAGAAAATTGCTAAAGCAGCCAAAAAGGATGAGAAAATTTTCAAAACATTGGCAGAACCTTTGATTGATGGTCAAATTGATATTCAGGATGATTGGTTAGGTACTTCTGACATTTTAACATATGTTGCATTAGGTATTGCAGCATTGTGTTTAGGATGTTGTATTATGTTGGTCTTAAAATTCAGAAAACTTTCAACATCACTGTTAGTTCTACAACAAGTACAAAATGCTACATCTGAAAAAGTCCCTTCTTTCATCTATGAAAAACTTGTAACGTCAACTCCTAATCCAACAGACTTAGGTTCAACTTGGTTTTCTGAATTTACATGGATTCATGCTTCAGTCATTTTAAGTACAGTTGTACTGGCCATTTTAGGAATTCTGTTATATTTGGTGTACAAATCAAAATCATGCAAAGGATCCATTTTAGCACTAGAATTAACTACAGGTGGTGATTGTGTTATGGTCTTTATTACTAGATTATCTTTGTGTCCTTCATATTACACTATAACAACACCCAAAATTACAGATATTTCAATTACTCCTTTTCCATCATGCAAATTGTTAGCCACATGGACAAATTTCAAAGTCACAGACACCCGAACTAACATGACCATTTCTATTCCAACAACCATTACCCTCAACCCACTAACTCACTACAAACTCAAAACAATTTTGAAACAACTATTCAGTGCATATGTAATATTACTACACAACAATTATGCTTTTCATCTAAATAACCCACACAAAAACATGCTTGTTACTCTTTAAATGACTCAATAAAAAAAAAAATTAACAATATCTCAGAATTTTTCTTTAGCAACTTTTAAATTTTTGTTAATTTGTTTTGTCAACATTGCAATGAATCGCACAACTCAGTAGATTTTTTTTTTACCTTTTTATGGACTATTTCCATTACAATGATATCATTTTTTTTGTTTTCTCTATTTTTTTTTTTCTTAATGACTTTTTATAATATTTGTATGTTTGTGTTCAAAAGCTCAGGGATCAATTACCATGAGATTATATGAGTTTTGATATAAGGTATTACCTTTATGTATATTTACATGTATATATTTGTCTTTGTTTGGAAGGTTCAATTTTTTTCATTAATACCTTAATTTTTTTTTAGCTATAGTTGTAGACTAGTTTATTATTGCGTTAAAAAAAAAATTATATGTACAAGTAGGTAGTTCTTTTAGAATAAAACAATCAATTTTTTTTATATATATGGACAAGGAAAATTTGAGCTTTCAGGGACGAAAGCAATGGTAGCAAGGGGGAAAGTAGTCATATTGCAGAATTTATTTGATAAAATGAATTATGTCAGAAAGGACAGTTATGTTTAAAGATAAAATTCAACTTTGAATTTTAGTAAATCAATATTTCAATTTTGTTTAATGTATAATATGGTATTTGATATTATCATTTTTATTGTTTCATAGGAATTAGACAACCTAGATTTTATTTTATTTCATGATACAATTCGAAATGTAAGTAAAGAAGTTGCTAATAAGTATTTTATTTGACAAAAAAAAAAAAGGAATGTCTTTGAAGAAAAAAAATGAATACAGGTAATTTTCTAAAATAAATAAATTGTGTTACTCAGAATATTTGGCATGAGGGATTAGTAAACTGTTGAAGCCTTTATACATACAATTATGTAATTTTGTTGGAAAAAGAGTACAACCGTAATTTGTAGATAGGTGATGTGTTTGTTGTACAATTCTTTATGGTTTCTTTTATCTTTTTTATCTAGTGTCAAAAATGCTATCACATAAAGTAGAATCCATTAACCTATTGTTAGGGGATTAACTGGTTAAGTGACAGGTCAAATACTAAGGTAATGGTCAGTCCATGTCACATGATTTTTCAAAGTACGAGTTTTCGGTATTATTAATACAAATTAACAAAGAAAAACTAATTTGATTGGTTAAAAATAATTTACGGCAAGCGTGGGTCTCCGAATGGAATTGCGCCCGCTCCTTGGCCATTCTATTCGGAGACGTTAATAAAGTTGTATCGTTTTTAATTTCATCCACGCTTTGCTTTTTCATATTACAGCGCACCCAAACCTACATTGGACCTGGTGGCTGGAAAGCAAAACCATATCTTAGGGTCTCTCATTACGCCAGCGAGTTATTTAATTAACTTCCCAAATTAAGTGCGGTCACCCAAAAGGGCGACACGACAACAGGCAGGGCAGAGGAACAAAAATGCATTTCAACTAATCAGTAATTTTCAGCAATAATTAGTAATGCCCCTACCAAACACGAACCCATACCCTTTGGCCTATATAGATCCACACATCGCGAAATTTTTGAAAAGGCATCCTTGCTTTTCAAAAATATTTTATTAATAGCGAGGAGCAGATTTCAAAATATTCATTCATTTTCAGTCTATAAATACAGCCACCCCTGCCTCTACGGTACCCCTGACCCTGGGGCCTTGACATGCACAATCCTGAAAGATTAGGGCCCTTGTTAATAACTATCAGATAGTTCATCTGCTTAATACCTGGGAGCAGAGAAGAAAATTTTCAAAGAATTCATGTATTTTCACAATATGATAAACAGAGCCCCGCCCTAACACCAGAACCCCTGACCCTGGGGCCCTAAAATTCACAATTTTGGTAGAGGCACTCATGCCCATCATAACTATGCACTTAGTTAGTTTATCTAATACCTAGGAGCAGAGAAGATTTTCAAAGAATTCATGTATTTTCACTATATAATAAACAGAGCCCCGCCCTAACACCAGAACCCCTGACCCTGGGGCCATAAAATTCAAAATTGTGGTAGAGGCACTCTTGCTCATCATATCTATGCACTTATTTAGTTAATTTAATACCTAGGAGCAGAGAAGAAGATTTTCAAAGAATTCATGTATTTTCACTATATAATCAATAGACTCCCCCCACAACACCAGAACTCCTGACCCTGGGGCCATGAAATTTACAATTTTGGTAGAGGCATTCTTGCTCATCATAACTATGCACTTTGTTAGTCTATTTAATACCCACGGGCAGAGAAGAAGATTCATGTATTTTCACCATATGGTTATAGAGCCCCGACCTAACACCAGAACCCCCGACCCTGGGGCCATAAAATTCACAATTTTGGTAGAGGCACTAGTACTCTTGCTCATCATAACTATGTACTTACATGTAGTTGGTTTATTTAATAACATGGAGAAGAAAAGAAGATTTTCATAGAAATAATGCATTTTCACTATATACTTATTCAGCCCCACCCTAACACCAGAACCCCTGACCCCAGGGCCATGAATTTAATAATTTTGGTAGAGGACTCAATGCTGATTACCATCATGAAAACAGTTTGACTGTTTGATGTCCAGGAGTAAAGAAGAAGATTTTAAAAGATTGCAATAATTTTAGTGGTTTTGGCCCCGCCCCTCGGGCCCCAGGGGATAAGGGATCATGAAATTCACAATTTTTGTTTCCCTTCATCCATAGATGCTTTGTACCAAATTTGGTATAAATTGCTTGAGTGGTTGCAGAGAAGAAGCTGAAAATGTTCAAATGTTAACGCACAACGCACGACGTACGACGACGGACGAAAACATATACCAATACGTCACCTGAGTTTACTCAGGTGACCTAAAAAGAATAAAAAGAGAGAAGGTATGGTACAGCATTTAAATAACGGAGGACAAACGGTGTCATTTATTTTAGAAATAAATATATACAAATGTTTTTTCAAGATATTAAATATGTCGTTGACATAATGTCACAAAACTTAAGTATATTTGGCGTTTTACACAATATGGGGTGTAAAAGATTCTTTCTGAAACTATTCAATGTTTTACATTCTAAAATGAAATGAAATTCGTCTGCTATTTGTCCTGTATTACACAACTTACAAACTCTTTCATCTAATGGAATATTTGACAATCTATACTAGTTTCAATTGGGAGGTGGTGGTTTGATATTCTTAATTTTATTAGTATTTTTTGGAGCTTACTAGGTAAAATACTAAGATATTTTTCACATCCAAAATCACTTTTAAAAATTTTGTAAATTTGATTGAAATAATAATATCACAATACGAATTTTTTCTGCATATCAAAAAAAGACAAGGGGTCAATTTTCTACAATGCCCACGGAGAAAAATGATACCTAGGCCATAATTATTACAAAAAAGTGGGTCATTTTTCTACGTAGAATATTGACCAAGGGGTCAAATTCCTACGTAGAAAAATGACCCCGGTCAATATTTTACGGGGGTCACTTTCCGTCGTTAGACCGGTGCATAGTGATTCACAAATACATGATATTGTTTTTAATTCATTTTTAGACACAGATTCAAATATTTAAGTATCATAGACATTTCTTAGAGGACATAGCTTATTTTCTTCTCAAAAGGACATTCAAAGAAACTATTAAAAAGACATGAAATTAAAAAAGACTTTAATTAAAATAAGCATACACAACATTTGATACGAGTAGAATAAAAAAAAAACATGTAGAGAGAGAGAGAGAGAGAGAGAGAGAGAGAGAGAGAGAGATTATACATTTGTCTTTAAATTATTTAAACCTTCATATAACATGTATAATTCCGAATGTAACAATGGTTAATTAGCACCTATGACGACTTTCAAATATCTTTTATGTGGAAAAAAGTTTCTCTTTTTGGAGAAAAAAATACTCAATATTAATAAGACATACAATGAGCCCTGACGCTGGAGTTTAAGTCCGTGAATATTTTTCATGTGATTTTTATTAATCAGTAATCTGATGCAAGAAATTATGGGAAAACACTACTTGATTATGGGTACATGTTTCTAATAATACTTGTAATATAATTCAAGAAAGATAGCATGCCTTTAAATCTAATTTAGACATATTTGTATCTTGCTCTGAAGCCTCTTTCTGGAGACTTGGAGTGTGTCCTAAATAGGACCAACATTTCTCTACCTTTGGATGTGAATTTACGTGTGGGTCTTTTAATGCAGCAGAACCTAAAAATAAACATGTTAATTCATAATATTGCATAATATATATACCGGTATATAAAAATAATTATACATCATTAAACAAGAGTCCCTTGGGCTATATAGCTTACGTGAACACTTTGACTAGAAAATCAGTTTAGTATTGATAATTTAGAATTTCAATGTGTCTAGGGGATATGATTTGAACAAATATATATAATAAATCTACACTAATTGAGAATGCTTCCTTTTTATTAATCACTCTTTTGTAAAATTTTGAGCGCCCATTAGGCCATACTTCTCCAAGGATTCATGCTTTGAATAAAGAATGAATCTATAAAACATGTGAATTCCATATAAATATTACTAATCATGGTGTTCTCTAAAATATGTACCTTGGTCCAGTGGTAGTGAAACTGTTGTAACGAACTTCTACAAAGTCCAAACACATTGTACTGATAACGTTGCACCTAATCCTAAAGGTCCCAATAAACTCCAATCGGACTCGTTTCCTTACAGGTGCCTGGAATTTACCAATATGAATAAATCAGATGTCTTCGTTCAGAAAGAAAATATTGGGTTCCTTCCTTAAGAATTTACATTTATCATTTTTCTTTTAAATATGTTGTCAAATGTTTAAAAATTTCTAGATATCTGAATCACCGGACGCAAATCATACAATATTTACTTTGCTCGTAAGCATATATGTTCCAATGCAATTTAAAAAAAAAAAAGAAGTCAGCGAATCAGGATTTTGCGGTAGAGGTATACATTGTATATATTTTCTTAGGTCAATCATATTCACCTTGCGAAGTTTAATGAAAATTTAACTGGAAACACAATAATTATAAAGATGTAATAGTGACAAGTTAAACATTTATCCCAAGAAATGGATCTTAAATATACAAATTAGAGAAGAAATTGTCTGTTGAAAGTACTCGCCAATACAAATTGAATTACTGATTTGATTTCCAATTTTTATACATACTTTAAGTGTTTAAAGGTACCCTTCAATTTCCAAAATCTTTACCAAAAAATATGGCTCATATTCTTAATTTAACTCATATTTGAAAATTTTGGATTTAATGTAATCTATTATCCAAAATTACGGGTAAAATTGAAAAAAAAAATGTTCTGAAGAAAAGAAAATTGTTGTTTTAGGTATGAATTTTTTTTATTGTCATTATAATTAAATTAAATTGATTTTGTTTTTCACATATATATTACTTTTTTAATTCTGTAACTATGGGACTAAGGTTTGTTTAATTGATCTTTGGTAGTGGTCATAAATATTGCCTGATCCCTTAGTATAGATCCATTTACCGTAATTTTCCATGTACATTCTGAACTGGTTGTGTACTTTCTAGGAAAGAAGTATCCAGGTGAGTTTAAGTATTTGTAGCATGATGTGGCAGATCTATACTTGTATCCACATCCAGAAATCGCTAAATAAAAATATAAAAGATATTGTTTTCCGTCCTTCAGCGACAAATTTCAAGTATAATTGAAAAAAAATATTGATTATTTATTGTATTTTTAACGTATACGGTATTTAAAGGACAATAAACTTTTTAAAAGTTTAATGAAGGTACAATATATCTACCGTATTTTGCCATAAGAATAACGACTCTCTCGAGTATCGTACATCAAAAAAGTATTGCCTTTATTTTGTAAAAGCTACGTTTCAAAATCCGTCTCCCATGAGCTAAAACTTTTTAAATAGATAATAGAGATCACTTATAAATTTACTATAAGTTGAACTATAAGGACAATTTTAATACTTACTAGGGTCATTTGGACCCTGACAGTATGTTCCATTCCACCCTTCCGGACACTTACAGCGTGTACAATTTCTAGGATCTCTGTACCCGCCATTCCTGCACGATGACCATGTTAGTCCTTCGGTACATCTCTCTTCAAAATCATTTTATTAGTTTTTGAGCACTTTATTTCTGCATAAACAAGCATGGCTTGAAGAAAAATATGAATAACCGCTTTATGTAAATTTTCGATTTTCTCAAGATTAGTGTTTCTTTTTTATTTTAAAGAAAATACATATAAGATATGTTTGTGAAATACTGATGCCCCTGTACGGCAGCTATTGCGAATTCCAAGTCAAACTCCAAGGTCAAGAGTTAGATCAAAAACGCTACCGAAAGAAAGGACGTGTAAGGAATTAATACCTGAGGAACATGATTGATTGATTGATTATATATTGTTTTACGTCCCTCTTGAGAATGTTTCACTCATATGGAGACGTCACCGTATGTCGGTGAAGGGCTTCAAATTTAGACCTAAACTCAGCACTCAGGGCCATTGAGCAGTGAGGGTTCTTTATCGTGCCAACGCCTACCGTGACACGGGACCTACGTTTTTAAGGTCATATCCGAAAGACCCGTGACTTTAACTTCTAGTGCCGAGCGCTTGGCGAAGGAACAGTCACTATACCTCTGTTAACGTTTTAGGTATGACGCGGCGCCGCGATCGAGAATCGCCTCCCGATCACGAAGCGAACGTTCTACCACTAGGCTACCGTGACCGGTGAAGAACATGACAAACCAAGTTCAGCAATTCAAAAGTTATTGCCAATTTTAATCTTTTACAGATGTGGGCCAAACTCAAAGGTCAAAGTCCAAGGTTCGAGGCTTGTCAGTAGAAATACACGGGTAAAATATTTCAGGCAGCCCTAGCGCTTACTGTTCAAAAGTTATGACCAAAGTTAAGTTATTCAAAAGTAAGTCAAACTGCGAGGTCAAAAGGTTAAAATTGTTAGTTTCCAAGGGAGGAATACCTCTGTGAAATATCAAGGCTCTTCTTCTATCTGTTCTTGAGATATAGCCTAGGTAAATGTTTTTTTCAGTGGCTCATATTCAAAGGTAAAAAATATTTATATCTTTTAAAAGGTTTTATCACAATTAATACACGTGTGAAGCTCTAACACCAGCAGCTTAAGAATTATGGTTAAGGGTTACATGTATCTCCACAATAATATGATGCCAAAGCAGCAGCACCAACAGTTTTAAAAAATTATGATCAGTATAATATAACAAGGCGTGTTTCTGAAACACCGTTCCGCCAGTGTGGCAGCTTTTGGCGAAGGTAAAGTTTTCTCAAATTCAAGGAACCCCATGGTTCGGAAAATTAATCTACATGGTCAATGTACATGTCAGGAAGTTAGAATTGTTGATATTCAAACAAAAGCCTTATCACAAAAGTTATGGCCAAGGTTAAAAATTTCATAAAAGTGGTTCAAACCTAAAAGTCAAGGTCAGTAGGTAAAAATATTTACAATAAGAGAAAGATCTTATCATTATTAACAAACGTGAAGTTTGAAAGCCCTAGCAAAAACAGTTTAAAAGTTATGACCAAGGTTAAAGTTTGGCCAAGGTCAAAATGTCAAATTCATTGATACCCATAGGAATGCCTTTTCACTAGAAATACACATGTGAGATATGTAAAATATGAAAGTCAAACGTTCAACCAAAAGTTATAAAAAAGTTTAAAATTTGAAAAAGAGAAACAGAGAGACAGACGGACGAACAGCGCAACCACTATATCCCCGAACCTTCGATTAGAGAGCATGAAAATGACAAGTAAAACAGAGGGGAACACACCGACAATAATTCTCATATTATTTGCATAATAATAAATGTTATTAGATTTTAAAAAAAAAAAAAAACAACATGTTTTGCAAAAATGACATTTACAAATATTTGACAATTACAAAATATTAAAAGAGAACCACAAGACACCACTAGTTAATAACAGAATAATTATCAGAATTGATTTTAGAAATGTACATTATCTATTTCAAAAAGCTCAAATATATCGATTACCTACATCTCAACATCTTTTAAAATGATGTTGATATAGAAAAAATTCACAAAACGTTGGAAGTCAAAGTACATATACATGTACAATGTATTCTTTATCTACAGGACAAGAAACAAGAGGCATCGCTCACCTGAGCATTTAGCTAGGAAAAAAATCAGACATCAGATCAGAATTGAAAGTTTACTGAGGGGGGGGGGGGAAGGCTGGAATTTTAACCTCTACGGGGTCATGATTTGAACAAACTTGAATCTACACTACCTGAGGATGATTCCCTATAAATGTAACTAGGCATGGCTTTAAAGTATACTTGAAAAGAAGATTTTAAAAGGTTTCCTTAGCTATTCCTTGGTAAAACTTTGATCGGCCATTTTGGCCCCACCCTACCCCTGGGGGTCATGATTTGAACAAAATTGAATCTGCACTACCTGGGGATGGTTCCAGATGAGTTTTATCTTTCCTGTCTCAATGGTTCTTGATAAGAAAATTTTTCCTGTGTATTCCTATGTAAAACTTTGATCAGCCATTTTGGCCCCACCCTACCCCCGGGGATCATGATTTGAACAAAATTGAACTTACACTACCTGAAGATGATTCCACACGAGTTTCATCTTTCCTGGTCCAGTGGTTCTTCAGAAGAAGATTTTTAAAGATTTTTCCTATATATTCCTTTGTTTAACTTTGATCGGCCATTTTGGCCCCAGCCTACCCCAGGAGGTCATGATTTGAACAGACTTGAATCTACTCTACATGAAGATGATTTAACATGAGTTTCATCTTTCCTGGTCCAGTGGTTCATAAGAAGAAGATTTTAAAAGATTTTTCCTATATATTCCTATGTTAAACTTTGATCGGCCATTTTGGCCCCACCCTACCCCGGGGGGTCACGATTTGAACAAACTTGAATCTACACTACCTGAGGATGATTCCACATGAGTTTCATCTTTCCTGGTCCAGTGGTTCTTCAGAAGAAGATTTTTTTTTAAAAAAATCCTATGTATTCCTATGTAAAACTTTGCTCGGCCATTTTTGGCCCCACCCTTCCCCTGGGGGTCATGATTTGAACAAAATTGAATCTGCACTACCTGGAGATGGTTCCACATGAGTTTTATCTTTCCTGGTCCATTGGTTCTTGAGAAGAAGATTTTTTTTATAATTCCTATATATTCCTATGTAAAACTTTGATCGGCCATTTTGGCCCCACCCTTCCCCTGGGGGTCCTGCTTTGAACAAACTTGAATCTACACTACCTGAGGATGATTCCATATGAGTTTCATCTTTCCTGGTCCAGTGGTTCTTGAGAAGAAGATTTTTAAAAAATGCCATTAATTTTTCTCTAATTCATAATTATCTCCCCTTGGAAAAGGGCGTGGCCCTTCATTTGTACAAACCTGAATCCCCTTTACCCAGGATACTTTGTAGCAAGTTTGGTTGAAATTGGCCCAGTGTTCTTGAGAAGAAGATGAAAATGTGAAAAGTTTACAACACGACAACGACAACAACAACGACGCCAACGACAACGACAGACAACGGACAAATTTTGATCAGAAAAGCTCACTTGAGCCTTTGGCTCAGGTGAGCTAAAAAGGACATATGAAAATATGCGCTTTACAAAAGAATTAAACCTCGAATTGCACACCGGTATATCTACCTGTATTTCTTTATCTATATATAACGCCATCATCAGAACACAAATCTTTCTTTATTTTGTATAAAATCAGTTCAAGAGATGTATAGTGTTGCACAAATAAAAATATATTTCGGAGAAGAAAATATGACTTACTCTGACAATAGTGGTAGTTAATAGCCTTTATGTCATTAAACGACAAAGACGTTATTTGTCCCATTGTCCTGCTGTAACCGCTTTGCTTGGCAATGATTGTTTTCCCTCCATTTTTTGATAATGCCTATTGAATTAAAGTAGCATAATATATCTGTTTAATACTGGGTAAAAAAGAATTTTTAACTAAGTATTTTTTGTCAGAATATGATTACAATTTGAATGTATCCAATGGATATTTAAACAATTCTTACCCTTTCACCGTAATGCATGATTGATCCATAATCGTATTGTGTTCCATAGGTAACACCAGGTCTGACCATGAAATTGCGTTCTTTTCCGCTTTCAATGTTTTTTTCAACTATGGTGACATAACTGTTTCTGTCTTGTCTGCTTTGCTCGTGCCACATACCAAGGGCATGTCCGATTTCATGGAGGATTATTCCTAACTAAAATGCCACATTTTTAATGATTCATTTAAAAAGATAATTGACTTTGAAACAATTAAGTGTATACTTACACGTTTACAACCATTATCAAGGTTTATATCGTTAATGCCAGAACTTTTTCTTCCAATATTTGACCAGCATCTTAAAAAATATATCGAAAATCATTTTAACTGCTTTGTTCATTTCCTTTTATTTCTTCGAAGTTTTGTTTTGTTTTTATTTTCTCGATGATATTTCTAAAAAAAAATTGACATTGCTGAAATTTTGCTTTCCAGTAACATTTGCAAAACTGGAACATAAAATGAAAAAAAAAATTGTATACATGTAACTGCGGAACATTGCGTTTACCTTGTACTTACATGTAAAGTTTAACATGGACAAGACATTAAATACATTTTTTGTGTTATGATTATGTTTTACCCTTGCTTATTTTCCTTGAAGTTAATTCCTGATGACTTTATTGTTTCTGTTTCTCTAAATGAAACACACGTTTCCCGCTGCCAAATTCTTACTGCCTTTCTAACCAATTCCCCTGTAAAAGACAACTTTACAATATGTATTTTCATTCTCAATTCTGGGTTCAAACTTAAAAAAAAATAAATAGTTTTTAGATGTATGTTTTGAATTGGCAATATATAAACGAAGGCAAAAATCTCCAACATATTTTTTCATCCCCATCATAGGTAAAAAAAATGGAAAAAGTTGAAAATGATAATGCATAATACACATGTATATCCTATATTTCATCCTGTAAACATTAATTCTTTTCTTACTTTTTTCACTCTTATTTCAATGAAAAAAAATCAATGTACTAAAGTGCAAAATAAAATAATATAAAAATGTTCCATAGTTCATAGTTCCAGTAAAGTTAAACTTTCATAGTTCCATGAAAACTGTTGTATATTTATTGTGACAGAAAATATAAACAAGTCTATGGAAAGCCTTACTGTTTCCTGAAAAGGCAAGTTGTATCCTGTATTTGATTGGGAATCTCCACTTTCTGTCTTTAAGTACTTTTCTTGTGTCAAATGTATTAGACGCCTAAGCAAATAATAAAAACACAGAATTTAAAAGTTTAAAAAGTATCTTTAATTATACTTTTTAATGAAATGAAATATATTGTGAATGATTGATCAAACGTAGTACTTCAAATAATTTCATTTTATTTCATGTATGAAACTGAAATGATGATTATATAAATATCGACTTGTTTGTGTGCAAAAACATTGTCATTAGTTCTTTAAAGTGTTTAGAATACAAGAAAATTGTCTCTGGGCTTTGTTCCGTAAATCTTGCCTACTTTAGTTGATAGCTCGTTATATCATTTTTGAGTAAAACAAAAGTATCCGCCAGGATAACATCATCCTTTTTTCGCCTTGAACTTTCAATTTATTTTTCTGTACTTATATAAAATGTTTCCAATGATGCCAAAAAAAAAATAATTAATTTATTTCATCTGAAGTATTGTAAATAAAATAAAAAAAGGCATAATAATTATATAATGATTCGTTTACTGTTAATGCTTCAAAATAATGTACATTAAATTTTAGAACATGGGGTAAATGGAAACAATCTCTTACAGGTGTATCCGTTTCATTGCTGTCAAGTCTGAGATATCCAGGATTTCTTTTGTAAAACTGCACAAGATCGGCTGCAGAATCTTTATCTAACTTTATATCACCATCAATCATGTCGGTTTCTCCAAAGCTTCTTTTGGATGCCTTTCAATATACGATATATTTACATACATATATTATTATTATTAGTTAGCAAATGCATGAAACATTACAGCATTTGTCAGTGTCTGGTTAAAAAATGCTTTAAAATTTTACCTTTAATCCAGGATTTACTTTACTTATCATTTCATCCAGCTGCAACAACGACGATTCCACAGAGTTTTTCAGAATTGGCTGTGCTTTTACCTCCTCTTCAAAGGCGTTACTTTGTTGATTACTGTTTTCAAACTTCTGTTCATCAGAGCTGTATTCACTTTCGAATTTATATCTTCCTTCTTTTTCTTCTTTTTGAAGCCTGTCTTGCATGCTACTGCTGCTATAGCTTCCAACTTGATAGCCATTCACCAGATTCTCCTTTGATTCTATTCCATTTCTCTCTAGGTTGCGAGTTGCAAAACTTGTTTTGTCAGCATTTGTTTCGTCCAACAGCTTTCGGATGTTTTTCGAGCCGCCTCCCTCCTTGTTTAAAGCGCTTGCAGTTAGGACTATCAATAAAGCTGTAAAAATAGTTATTTTCAACATCTTGACTTGGAGTTAAAATTATTTGATACACTGTTTCTTTTATACCCTCAAATTCGGATATTTTTTGGAATTTATTTTTTTTCCATAGTTAGAGAAAAACATCTTTGGATGACCAATCAGAAACAGTTTTAAGTTGTTTATCCATAATTGAAAACCCCTATACTAGATTTCCAGTTCTTCTTTTTTATACCATGGAAAGTTTAACGGTATTTCCAAAGCATTTAAAACAAGCAAAAATATTTTGGGTACAATCAATAATGCGCCTTATGAATATGTCTTTTACTATTTAAAAGAAATTCTAAAATATTGTATAATTTTCATTAATGGCCTTTCTTTATTAACATTTTTTTCTAAAATGAATATGCATCTGTCAAACCTGAAACGCCTGTTCAAGCCCCACTAACTGGTACATGCATGGTCAAATACTTTACTTGAACATAAATTTATATGAAAGTTTTTATGTTGCGTTGAACAGGTACATATACATGTAGAATGCAAGTATTTATTTCTAAGTGCTTCATGAAGCACTTAAGGTTTTTGAGGTGGAAAACTTCATAAGTGAATTAAAATGGAAAACCCAAAAATAGAAAGGTGTTCCAATGCATTAATTTTTTCAATGTTTAAAAACAATGCATTTCTGTTTGATAAAATCAGGCTTTTAAACCTTTTTATCATCACGAGAATTTTAAAATGTATCAGTTTGATTCTTTGTAGATTTACCGTAAACTATTTAACAAAAGTACAAAGCATGCAATGCATTAGTGTGTGGTGATTTAAAGATGTTATGGCACTTAACCAAATAACATCGCAGTTCCCAGTTGCCTGTTTGGGCTAAAGAAAAAAAAGATTCAAATTATTCTTTCATTTCCCCAAGTGTTTTTTTCTGTGATCTACAATAATTTTTTATTCTTCAATTCCTATATATATACTGCACCACCTGTATATTGCTAATATTTTACACCTTTTTTATTTCATAGGTTACGTTTTTGTGAGCTGAATTGCTGTTTGCCTTGAGTCAAAGCTTAGATGACGAAAAAGGGGTTTGATTACATCCAATATTGACCACTAATATTTTTCATACAATTGATTTTTCTTGACCATGTCTTATTTTTAAATTAACGAACTTTGGTATGCTCTTTTCCTTGTCATTCACGCGTCACAATACATACCTTAGATAAGATAAATGTTCAAAATGATAAAGGTTATATTTATAAAAATGTAATGGCGTCGACAAAAACACAAGGGGACAACTTAGTTGTAGTCGCTGCCATTGATTTTGGGACAACATAAAGCGGCTATGCATTTTCATATAGTGGCGACCCATTAACATTTTATTCCCCCGGCAGTATGGTATTCCGGACAAAGAAGCATGGCTTCTATGAAGACTCCTACATGTTTATTGCTAAATCCAGACCAGACATTCAACTCTTTTGGATTCAAGGCAGAAGAATTGTACGCTTCATTGGCCTCTGTAGATGAACATCATGGATATTATTTTTTTCAGAGATTACAGATGAAGCTCCACTTCGAGGTTATAAGGTTTAACGTTTTGGGAACATAAAAGGCTTTAGATACAACAATATAATTTAATATTGTTTCAAAACATTAGGAAATGTATAAGAGGAAATGTATTATTTTTGCTTTTGTAACATTTTTATATTTTTCAAGTTACAGTTTTATCTATTTTAATGAAATTTAGAATGTGAAGAGAGAGTCTTGCATTAAGGACGTATCTGGGAAACCTCTGTTGGCACTGAAAGTCTTTTCGCTCTCAATCAAATTTCTTAAAGATCATTGCATTAACACAATGAAAGATAGAGGATGTTTTATACTCAATGTTACTGATATCAAATTTGTCTTGACGATGCCTGCAATTTACACGAAGTAAACGAACGCCTATAGTAATATCTGAAACAGATGTAATTTGATAATTTCAGCTTTTATGTAAGTAAGTCAAGATATGAAAAATTCCTTCGTTATTAAAGCTCTGCAATATGGTTGGTAATTGTCTTTTGATTCTCAGATATATTGCTTACAGGTGACGAATGTAATTAGATAATGTTTTCCTTATACTTATTAATTACAAATTCAACTGCTTAAGAATTTTTTTAGATCATTATTTTTCGGGCATCTTCAACGTTAAATTCAGTTATACAATATTTTCAAAGTTTTTTTTTATACAAAAAACATAACATCTGGTTTTTTAGCTTCTTTACAATTATTTGTACCATTAACAGCTGTGAACTACTCAAAGTACATAACTTTTTTATCTCTCTTAGGTGGGACAGCTGACTTTAGTGTTCATGAAGTTGATGAGGACGGATCATTAACAGAGCTCTATCGCGCCAGTGGGGGGCCTTATGGAGGGATCTACGTTGACGAGAATTATCTAAAGATGTATGATATTATTTTCGGTGAAGGGACTATTGAACAACTTAAAATTGATGATATGGGGGAATATCTCAATATTCTCAGAGAATTTGAAAACAAAAAGCGTGCAATAACTCCAGATTCAAAAACTAACTTCATTACAAGATTGCCAGCTATGATGAACGAATGAACGAACAAATCTCTTTAGATGAAAAATTAAAATCTATCGAGGCCTCCATTTTTAAAGATGAGATAAAACCATTCAAAGACAAGCTAAAAATTGCACAGAGCTTGATGAAAAGTTTTTTCGAAGTATCCCTAGAGCAAATTATACAACACGTCAAGAAAATTGTAGAAACCATACCAAATATAAGAAATATTCTAATTGTCGGAGGATATGGGGAAAGTAGTTTGCTACAAGAAAGCTTCAAGAAAGAGTTTCCGCTATCAAACATTGTTATTCCCAATGAAAGTAGTTTAGCTGTTATCAAGGGGGCGGTTTTATTTGGACACAATCCTCGAGCAATATCTGCTAGAATATTGCGATATTTCTATGGTGCAGCTGCAGATGACATATTTGATCCTGAAATTCATCCGGAAGAAAAACGATATGTAGACGAAAATGGTATTGGAAGATGTAAAGATGCCTTTGGTCAATTAATTGCTAAAGATACAAAAGTTCCATCAAAAGGAAAAGTCGTTACAGAAATAGAACTCCCTCTTATGCCTGATCAGAAAAGTTATGATCTGAGAATTTATTGCACAGAGAAAATTGATGCCTCTGTGATTGATGAAAGCTTCAAGTATGTTGGACGGTTAGACATTTCTGTACCTGAGTATATCGAGGGGGAATGGGAGGCAGAGGAACATTTTGTTTTCGGTATGGCGGAAATCAATGTGTCTGTCACAGTTAGGGAAACCGGAGAAAAAACTGAATCTACTTTTGACTTGCTTGAATAAACTTTTTGATTTTAAATATCAGCATTAGGTATTCTTTGGTCAATTTAAAGTAATATCACAAATGCACTCCCATCCATGCAAAGACTTTATTGCAGATCTTTTAAATGTTCTGTAGAGAAGAAATTTTAGTTACATAAAACAAGTTCATTTCATACGAGGGGTGATCAAAAAGTTTGCGAACTATCTCTATATTTTCAAAACCATGGTTCAGATCAGAATGAAATTTGACACATCTATATTCATGCACATGCTCTATTATAAAATAGCATGTAAAAAGTATTGATTTTCTTTATCAAAAGGTGAAACTGACGTCAATATGTAGGTTACTCGTGACGAAAAATGTCGCATCCTTACTCGGACAACGGACGACTGTAAGGTTTAAAATTAAACTTGGATATTCCTTTAAAGACTTAAAATATTTTGTACAAGGTTTAAAAGGACAATAAACGTTCATTTATAAATTGGATTGATTGTTTAAGTAAAGGGAGGGAGATGGTTAAATATGACGTTTGTTTTGAACTCGAGCGAAAGCAAGTTGTGGAAGAGATGTGTCATTTGTTAGGTAATTTGTTATGAAAGAAGGCGAGGTAACAGTAAAAAAATTGTATATTTTAGCAATAATATTATTATTTAACTCCTAAAATATCTTTTGATTTTGACTTCAAGCATTTTACATAATAAAAAGAAGGCCCCTACAACTGTATCCATATTTGATAAACGACTTTCCTAAGACAGAGATCTCGGGTTGTGATGGTCACCATGTTCTTTCTGGGAAAGGATATCCTTTTCTCGCATAATCACCAGTGTAAGATTGACTTGTCCGGTGTGAGACAGCAGTGTGAGATTTTTCTGTCTTACACTGTGTATTACTACGCCACGAACGATCACGTAAACATTCCGTCTTTCTATAAAGAAATTGTATCAACATAAAAAATATTACACATAATTAAAATGTTGTCATTTTACCTATTAATATAAACTTATTTTCATTCAAAATATTGTCGTTTTTTCACTTTTTAAATGGCACTATTTTTAGATCGCGGAATGATTCTTCTTTTACGCTTTCGAATAGTTTAAAAGTTTTTTATTTTCAGTTTTTATCTATCTGATTAATTTACACGGACTGAAATTTATTTTATCAGTTTACACTACGTGTAAACCATTTTCAGGTACGCTCTCTCCGATGGTGTATTTAGATTTTTAATTAGATGGAAAATTAAAAATATTTTTTTTAGCCCCATATCATGGCGACGTCATTGACAGGCCGTTATTTTGGATAAAATAATGCGAGAAAAATATTCATTCATTACATACTCGTGTGGGAATAGTGAAATTCCACCTCGGGGCCAAGATTCACGGTCTAGGACTCGGCAAAGCCTCGTCCTAGACTGTGAATCTTGTCCCCTTGGTGGAATTTCACTATCCAACACTCGTAGTAATGAATGATTCTATTAATCCACCAATTCTATCTCCGAGATTTGGTCATTTCTGACAAATAAACCTTTCTTGTATAAAAATCAACTTGCATGGCAAGAAATATTAGACTCGGAAAAATATTTTAGCGTTTATGAACAGAACGCTTCAGGGCATGTCACTTGACCGCTTGCATCACGTGATTCGCGCATGTGCAGATCGGTGGCAGATATGCATTAAAATCAGACAGGGCTACTTAAAAATATAATGAACACTGAAACCTAATTTTATTTGTTTGATGGAAGTTATTCAATTTGTTCGCGAACTTTTTGATCACTACTCGTATCTAATTTTGTTCTTTTTTATGCATGCATCTAGAGAATACAGTTTCGTCCTCTCGTTTACTTAAAGTTGCAAGAATGAGAATTGATTAGAATTAGTAAAACATAGATAAACATTAATGCTAATTATTTTTTAAGGAATAAATACGACAATATTTCGCATATTATTTTCTCTTATGTATGTACTTGAAGAGATTATTCAGTATTCTTGTTTACTGGCTGTACATATTCTATAACGTTCAAATATCGCGATTTGATAAATCAGTTGCTGTAGAAATCATAAAAATGCGCATCAAATACTTGTAACGTATAAAATCGGTACCTTGTAAGATATCAAAGTAAGTAAATTCTCTAATAACATTTTGCATTTAGGATGCATGAACGATGTGCTTAAAATGAGTGAAAATTGAAGTGAAGAACAACACTTCGATGAAATCAATATTTTTGTATTTTTATAAAAATGCACATCGGTATCCTACTCCTACTGTGCTGTATGATAACAATCTATTCAATTGTAGAAATGATAACTAACAGGAATTCTGGAAAATACAGCAAAATATTCAGTATAAGCAACTTTTATGTGCACTTCAAGTAATTATTTCAGATTTCTGAATTTTTGCGTTCTATTTGTTTTTCCAACGAGGAATTTTGTTGGACTTATGTATACTTCAAGTAATTATTTCAGATTTTTGATATGTTTGCGTTTTGTGTTCTTTTTCCAACAAGGACTTTTGAAATAACTGAATTTATGAGTCAACTAAAAATATTATCAATCTCTTTTCCAAACATCTGATACAACCCTTTTCTGCCATTTGTTATTTCAATAGACAGAAAAACTAATTATATAATATCATTTTCTTCCTGAAATGGTTATCTTTTAAAGATAAATTGATTTTTAACAGTGTTGACGGAAGGACATATCAATTGTGATATAAAACAGATGTTTACGACAATCTGTTTTAAACTTATAAATAAGCATCAAACTTAAGCAAGACGTTGTACAAATCATACATGCACACAGCAAAGGTTTGTATATTTCTGTAAAATCTGACATAAGAAGGTAAGAAAGAAAAATAAAAAGAGATTGTCTATTGATTTTATTTAAAAACGTAAAAAAGATTAATTTTATGATTCTATTCTAATTTGTGACATTAAGTATTTTGTTACTGTGATATCAAGTAAAAAAAATTATTCCTCACAATACCAAAAAATCAAATACTTTGTCTTCCTAAACTGTATTGATTAGCATAGTCAACAACATCAACACTTCTCAATGCATCAAAAATAGTTGCTAGTTAAATCCCAGACAACAGTTTATAAGCAAATCCCTGATCGCGTCAAATTTGTCGACATTGCGTCAATTTGGTAAAATTGACGTATTTTACGAGTATAACCTTTGTTTATTGCGATTATTCAATAATTAGCTAGAGAATGTATGTAATTAATTTTACGGTGTTTATTTGTATAGGTTTGGCACGTTTAATATCGAAGTTGCTTATTAAGTCACCTTTTTGCAAGAGCTTACGCTTACTAGATGTTAGCATTTTTTAAATATGAAGTTAGTTTATGACCTTCATTCAGTATACGTACGCATTTATCACGTGACTGTCCACTGATGGAACCAAACTTAATACAGTACAGACTGGGGCATACTATATTATTTCAATAAGAATTTGAAGTTATGTACATCCCGATGTAATAATTAAACGGCTTTATGAATTCAGTTTTAAAAAGTTCCTTTGTTTGCACGTCTGTCTTCCGTCGATTTATTCATAGTAATTTTAAGCCTTTACAGTACCCCAATGCCATAGATTTCCTAACACTTATGATTATTCATATGTAGTAATGTAAATATTTATATATGCATGCGACATTTTTTTTTCAATTCTGTTGTATATGTCAACATACAAGGTGTAGTTATGCTAGATGAATGATTTCATATTCTAGAGTTTGTTAATTAAATAATCATTATCAAAATCAGATCCTCGGAAAGGATTGCTAATTTGTATAATTATTTTGCGTGTTGACATAATTATCTTTTATAGTGACATATATGTACATTTCGTGTGGGACAGAAATATGACATTATTTAATGTAAATAATACCAGTTAAGCATTGATTAGTTTCAACTTATTAGATGGATTGTCTGCTACATATACTTCTGGCGGTATGCCTGATACTTCGTTTTCAAGTGGCCATCAGTTGGAAAAACGATTGGGACCGTCCGCTTAACTTTCAGTGTCCTTTGAAAACTCAAGCCATCGACGCTGTTGTGTCATATCACCGAAATCATTACGAGGATAGGCGTTATGAACTGCATTGCGGAGATGTTCTGAAAGATCGAGAAGTTACAGTTAACTGTGAATGGTCAGGTAGGTTGGGCAAAAACATGTAAAAAGGGATTTAGCTTTGTTTTATAGAAATAAAAATTAACAATGCAAAATAACTAAATAAAAAAAAATTGGATTGTGTGATTAACTTTTTTTTTACGTCTGGTTCAATAAGATGAATTCAGAAGCATAATTCGGAATGCAATAAAATATATAGAAAAAAATCAGTTGAGCAAAATAAGATTATGACTGTGCGTACTACATGTAATAATGAGATTGAAAGCATTGTTAATATGAATTTTATGAGAATCTTTGCTATTATCTGCAGGAATCATATATTTATTTCCTCTATCTTGAAACACGCCAATGCTGAGTATTTTAACAATACGTTTCGTAAAGTGAGGAAATATTAAGAGTTTTGCCACTCCGTCGAAAAAGAAGAAAATGGTTTGTTCCAGAATGACGTGTTTTTTTTAATTGCTGTCTTCAAGCTATAATATTATTAATATACCTGTATCTATAATGTTCTATGTATATAATTTTAAGTTGTCACCACTTTTTTCTTGTGGTAGAGAGCAAAATTATAAAATAATAACTAATTAAATATTTATTCCTATTTCTATCATATTTCTCAAGGATATGTCAACGACTTTGACCAAGTTGTCCATTTCCAATGCCCTGGAGCAGGATACATAAACGGGATGCATAGCTATCATCATAATTATTATGAAGACAGACGTCACGAATTTCGTTGCTGTGGACCAAAAAGCTCAAGTTGGTTGGAATTGCCTTTTTTATCCAGAAAACATAATCGTGACTTTTTTTAATTTACTATCTACTAGTAGATTTTTACATACAACAGTTGGGTACACCAGAATTTTGATAATTCCAGCCTTTCATATATTAGGTAGTATCTATTACGGTAAGAATTAAGAAGGCGCATTATTTTTAATGATGGACCACTGGTTCCAATTATGATAAATAGTCGCCTGTTTGTCGCAGTGGTTACAGCGTCTGCTTTATAAATTCAAAGTTAAGAGTTGATCCTTGTGTCGCGGGTTCGAATCCTATGGTGGGACTAGGAGACCGGTCCTTCGGATGACACTGTATTAATCGAGGTCCCTGTCGCAGTAGATGAAAAAGATCCCTCCCGACTCAATAACCCTGAGTGCCGAGTACAAAATTTGCAGTTCTCCGTCGGCTAAAATGCACACATGCGCGCACATGTGTATTCATAAGTTTAAGTTAAAATGCATTTTTCAAAAAAAAAAAAATAAAAGAATAATAATAATAATAAAATGATACTCTTGTTTAAAGATGTTCAAGATACCAATTTTATTAGGTGTTCTCTACTTTTTTAAAAAAAATTTTCTTCTTCATTTTACTTCCATTTAATAACTCTATGCGAATGATTTATATAGATATGAACACAAAAAATAAAGCCCTCCACTAAATGAATATCCGGATTAATGGTTGCAACCACAGGCTGTAAAACACATTGCCCATAATGATTCAGCATTTGCCCACTAACTAACAGAGAAAACAATAGTCGATTACTGTTTTAAGACTTAGAAGTTAAGATGGCATCTTAATATGCATATTTTTGTAGAATCTTCAAGTGATGTCTCTTTTAATTCATAAATTTATTTTGCTGGATAAATGTAGCTGATTGTGTGTATTCGAAATGTAACACTCATTTAAAATTACAGATTACTACTATAGTAATTGCAGATGGACTGGATGGCTGAATAACTTCGATGATCCTGTGGCTTATTTTGTCCCTAATGGTTATGTTTTGCGTGGTGTCAACAGTTTCCATCATAACCATTATGAGTACGTACTTATATATAGCAAAAAACATACATTGTAACTATTAAGAAAAAATTATATCTTAATCTAAAGATATAACCATTTTTCAAAAATTGATTTGCATGTACTTTGAATTTATAGTTATAGCTTTATGCAAAAACTCACACGTTCGTTATGAAAATTACACGATTAAAATGTACATTTAGTTATTTTGTTTTGTATTCATTTAGCAACATTTTGTATCAGAAGAATAATGATATAAGTATTTTGTATCCTCTTTCATAAACTTTGATACTATAAATAAACATGTAAAAAATAAAGATCACAACATGTATATTCATTTTTCTTCACATTAGCTTTTATCATGAGAATTAAAATTCCTTACTTATATAATTAATTATAATTTCATTGTAATATTTTAGTGTACTTAATTTCAAGATCATTTTATTTTCACAAAATAACAATAATTTATACTTGCTGTAGGCGATTTTTCTTTTACACAGCACTTATCTCCGTTTTTCTTCTTTTTATTCTCGTATTTAAGTTATTTGGATATCCATTTAAATACAATTTTTATTCCAGGGATCGTCGATTTCGGTTTGAAGTATGTCAGCTTCTCACAAGATAAATAAAAGATTGGGAACACATTTTTGTATTAAATGTTGCTTGTGTTAATAACAACTTTGAAATACTGTACAGTAAGTTTCATTGACTATGATTTTCTGAAACATCGCATGCATTCAACTTCTTTATTGAATTATTGTAAGAAATATTTATTTTATCAAACGACCAACTTGAAGCTATCGTATAAGTAGAATTTTTAGCAAGAATTTAATTTTGGCTTTATTAGCGAGGGTGCTTGCATTGCTAAAATTGAATATCGATAAAAATTGATTGCATATTATTTGTAATAGCTTCTTTAGTTAAATTTTAAATTCGCTAAATTCACCTCTCGCTAAAATTTGAAAACCACATTTTATGTAGAAATCTCTAAAGAACCTGGTTCACTTGTCCCAAATTTTGGCTCCGCGTCAAAATATATAATATTCCTCTAAGTTCCTCCAGAGAGTGTATATATTATGAAATTATCAATATATGTAATAATAAGATCATATGAAGAGAAATCTGCGTCAAGAAGAATTGGCGGAGCGAAGCGGAGCCCATTCTTCATGACGAAGATTTCTCTTCATATGATCTTACTGACTTAGAACAGAACCTCAGCCAATCAAATGAATGGACTTAACATAAACTCCTCCCACGGCTGTGTCATATGTGAGGCTCAACTTGACCGCTCGTTGTACAAATCGAGCACGCAATCACTGTCGAACACACGCGGTTTTAGAATGGACTCCAACCCATTCTGGTTAGCACGGGATTATATGAAATAGCTTGATTCATGCACGTAGCAACAGGGGGGGGGGCTTTTTGCAAGACATAACTTTTACTATCGAAAATGTTCATTGAAGGTTCATTGAAAGGCTGATCCCCCACCTTTTACTACAGTATATGAATATGAAGGTAATGTAGGGATGGAACTGCAAGAAATTGGTTTCGAAAAAACGTTCAAAAACGATGCTACGTAAGTGATTTACTGGGGAAATGGTATGGGGAAGATATTAAAGTATTGAACTAATGAATATCCTTGTAACAAGAATCTATATTTTTGGGAGAAAAAAAGTGTGTTAAAATGACAAGGCCCTAGTCAGCAGGAGTGGGTATCGCTATCTAGGGTCAAATAAAATTTTGATAAAAATTGTGAGTTAAATCTGTCTTCAAAGACAAGGTTCATCTCTGATATACATGACGGTATTTGTATTTTCTGTATGCACCGAAATGTGAAAAAAAAATATTCAGGAAGGCTACAAAAGATTACAGTGGAAAAAAAGTGTAGCAAGGCCTAGAAAGTTTAAAATATCATTGTAAACAGCACGTGGCATTGAATAGTTTCTGTTTTGTGTGCTGAGCAAAAACTAATGAAGACACACTCATAAAACTGTCAACTGAACCAAGCAGACACCGTTAAATCTTTCAGAAATAGAAGAATTCTTCACCATGAAGAATCGATTCTTTGCGAGAAACGGATGCATTTGATTGGCTGAATAAGTAGGTTACGTTCTAAACCTGTACAGAGCTCTATTTATGTTTTGTATAGCTGAAAAGGTTGCATAGTTTACGTAAACTTTACAATAATTTGACGTTGCTTTATGCGACGTCATGAACAAGAATTGGATATAGGATATTTCAAAATAAATCCAGCTAGCATACATTTTCATTTTTAACGTTCATTAATTTCATTCACAAACTTAAAATGCAATTCATTGTTCTACATGTGATAGCATACCATACTTACTCATTTATTTTCCATAATTGATAGTAAATCTTTGAATCCATTGAAATGTTTGGATTTAATTTGATGTTCAAAAAAACATATTGGAGAAAAGTTGTTGTGTATTGGAGGATTTTCATGTGTTCGTTGACTGATGCCATGAGATTCATACCGCTAAAATATTTTCAAGAACAAAAAAGAACAGTAAGTTTTAAAAAATCAACTTGATTCTTTAAACATTTTACTATTTCATCGTTGGTGTGATGACCCTACTCTACATGTCGCCCTTTGCTTCATTACAACGTCATTGCTTCTCTATCTTTACTACTTCTGCCTCAATACACTTTTCTTAAAATTACGAGATATCATCGTGTTATTAAATATTGATTGAAACTGATCTTGCTAATATGACTTTAAAATGTTTATGAACAACTGAAATCAAAACTCAATATTGAAGATTCAGCCACGATTAAGAAGAATGATCCTCATTCACTTATTTTCCTCGTTGAATTTCTACCGTTGCAAGTAATTTTACTTTTAAATGTAACTGACTTTGGACACTCGAACAGCGAATCAGCACAAAATTATCTCTACTCTACCTTAATCGTTTGTTCTTTCAATAATAAAAAAAAAAACGTAATCTGGACTAATTTTGTATTGATCCTTTCGGCAGCAAATTCTGAAATTTTTAGAGGCTATATGATTTTTTTTTACAAAAAAAACCCACCACCATTCTTTTTTCTGCGTCACATTTTCTTCTTATTACTCTCTGCCAATTAGCTTACGGTCAGATCTCAAAGTACTGAGATATTATAAATTTTACGACACATCAATAATCGCTAAAATTTCAACTTATACGGTAATTTCATGATTATAGCAGAGCACTGGTGTCAGAATGAAAGGTATATAATAATATGTGGCTAAAGCCCATGGCCAGAACGAGACCTGTAAAAATCAAGTAATGCTTAATGTATACACATGTAATTCTATGGCTTCTCCTGTTCAACAGGTACAAATGTTCGCATTCGTTCGTCAACATTCCTTATATCTTTAACAGAAATATAAGTGAGCGCTCGCTTTGCTGAACAGGCTTCTGATTTATTTCGGTGATGACGAGTGAAAAACACTACAAATGCTAAGGGACAGGACTCCCCCCCCCCTTTTCTATTTACCAGTAATTATCTCGCCTTAATTTTGATTTTTCAAACTGCAATATCTCTCAACCAAAGTTTTAAAAATATATATATAAAAAAATAACAACTCAGGAAGCTATAAATATTTTATTACCGTTGGTGATGGTGGTGGTGGTGTTGGGATGGGGAGTAGGGATCCACTGTCCCTAACCCAAGAACCTGTGGTGGTGAAATCAAGAGAAAAAGATATCGTTTCATCATTTGACATATTCAAAAGCTGCCAGGTGATAAGAAAACGCGGTGTCAGGGTCAATACTAGTGCCTCTCCATCCATGGATGCAGTACTGCTTACTTTATTCCAGATGAGACAATATTGCAAAGATGATAAGATATATTGTGCTAAAACGCTGTTTTACAATAGGTGTGATATCTTAAGATAACTATATGGATTACTTGTCAAAGATTTGATTTAATTTTTTTTGCTGATTCAATATAAAATTTGCAGAGTTCCGTGAAAGCATTTTTATTTCGTATTTTGGAATACATGAATTGCACGCTGTTATTATGTGAAAGAACTTTATTTCTATGGCAGAAAGTTTGTCTTTGTATAAAACAAAGCCCATTGAATTCTGTAATTCAAAATTTATATATTAATCGAAATGTTGAATCAAATTGTATTAGTGTTCAATAATATATTAACAAGGCACAGTTTTTGCTGACTTCGCCCATCGGTGTATCTCTAGTTATGCACACTTTATTTCAAAAGAAAAACACCACACCCGTGATACAACCCCTTTTATGGTATAGTGTTTCTGCTTTAAATATCTTCGTGGTCAATGCTTATGGTCACATCTAATGTGAATAATTTTTTATGCTTGTGACCACATCGTATTCTCCCATTCGTGTAAAAACCGACTGAGAAATTTTCTAATATTTATGATCTGTGATCCTAAATGTTTATTCGAGTAAATCAAATGTAGCTTGAACAGTTTTTCCAGTTTCCCTCACTGTGACAGACACCTTGATTTCTGTCATGCCAAAAATAAACTGCTCTTCTGCTTTCCATTTCCCTTTGGTATCTTCGGGTACAGAAATCTTTAGAACTCCAACCAGCTGAAAGCTCTCATCCACTACCATAGCGTTGATTTTTTCTGTGCAATATATTTTCAAAGTGTACGTTTTCTGATCGTCATAAAGAGGATTACCAGAATCAGTAACCATTTTCCCAGTTGAAGGTACTTTTGTATCTCTAGCAATAAGCTGACGGAAAGCATGCCAACATCTCTCAACTCCATTTCTATCTTTGTATCGACTTTCCTGTGGATGCTGTTCAGGGTTGAATCTTGGGTTAGCTCTAGATCCATAAGAGTAACGCAGTATTCTTGCAGATATTACCAGCGGATTGTGTCCAAAAAGCACCGCCCCCTTAATAACGGCCAGACTACATTCATTTGGAATAATAATGTGTTTGCTAAAAAATTCCCTCTTGAATGCTTCTTGTAGCAGGCTACATTCGCCGTAACCTCCAACAATGAGAATATTTTCAATCTCTGGAATTGTCTCTAAAATTTTATGTATGTGTTTCGTGATCTGATCTAGTGATTCCTCGAAAAAACTTTTCATCAATCCAGAAGAAATTTTTAACTTATCTTTCACAAATTTTACATGATCTCTTAAATAGGTGGATTCAACAACTTTCAATCTTTCGGCTAGGGGTCTTTTTTCATTTAATACCACAGAAAGCTTCGTTGTAAATGACGTCTGAAAGTCTTGAGTAATTGAGCGTTTTTTGTTTTCAAATTCCCTAACAAACGTCAAATATTCTTCCATATCATCAATTCTAAGCTGTTCAAGCGTCCCTTCCCCGAAAATAATATCATATATCTTAAGATAGTTCTCATCAACGTAGATCCCTCCATAAGGTCCTCCACTGGCGCGATAGAGCTCTGTTAATGACCCGTCTTCATCAACTTCATGAACGCTAAAATCTGCAGTACCTCCTAAAAGAAATAAAGAGAATATTTACAATTTAAATTTGGTGGATTAAGCAAACCAAATTGCCATACTAAAGAAAATATTTCAAAAATGAATATTTTTAATTTATGTTCATGAATGTATTCTTTGAAGAATGCTTAACGCATATCAAATCTTAACCATGGATATAGAATTTTTTATGCAGCATTCAGTTTGAAAAATGTTCATGTAGAGTATGGCATTAATTATCTTAATCAATACTGGGTAAAGAAACAAAACACTTGTAGTTTTGCCGTTTTTTAAAGCTGGATTATAACCATATTAGCGATAAAAGCTTACTTGTAGTATTATCTATACTAAAATTAAATGCATCATACAAAAATGAATATTTAGCATTAAAATTGATGTTTAATGAATAATCTAGAGAAAAGTCTTGTTTAATTTACAACAAACCTCCAATGTCTGCAACCAGATATTTAGTGCCAGAAACTGTGATAGCTTCCCCATTCCCAAGTTTTAGATTTTCTAGAGGGACTCGCTGACAGTAGACAGAAGCTGCTTCTGGTTCCAAAGCTAACTCTAAGCAATCACCTTTTATTCCAGCCTGTAATCATTGTAACAATATTATCTCCTGCATGGTTAAATTTGTTTAAACGACAATTGCAAGGTTTGTTTAACACAACAATTGAAAATGAGAGTGATGTTTCCGTATTTTTTCTGAGAACTTTAAAAAAATGCAAGTTCATTTATTTCATTATAAACAGTTTTAGAATTTAATATTTAAGGCAGTTTGCTTCTCTTTTTTTTGTTATAAATCAACATATTTTATCATTGAGCAATATTTTCGGTTATACCTGAACAGCTGCAGTTCTCATAAATTGTTTTGAACGATCATTCCAAATGGCAGGAACCGTCAAGACATATTTGATTTCTGTTTCTCCAGGTTTGATCCCTCTGTCCCTCATGGTCTGGAGACAATGATCTTTAAGGTATTTGATAGACAGAGAAAAGATTTTCAAAGCTGAAAGCGATTTTCCAGAGACATCCTCAATTAATAAATCCTTCTTCACATTCTGAAAAAAACCCACAAAATAGCAATAAATATATATGTGCAGTATTATACATTTATTGACTGAGTACGAAGGCAACATGTGTTTTGTCCGACCAAAAAGAGGCTGTTAGGCTGAAGGCAAATAGTTTGGTTCGAGGGTCGACAAAATGACTTTTGCCCGAGAATATAGCCAATAAATGTTTTGTTAAACCTTTCATTTTTATATTTTTATATACATGAATCATGTACAAATGTACTGTCTACCGTGGTGTATCCCCAGGTTCGTCACTGGTAAACACCAATAATTCCCGATGAGATTAGCTCCGCATATTGCATTACGTAAGCAGTCCAACATCTACTCCACAGGTCCAACATCTCATTTGTTAATGCCTGATTTGTTAGATTTTTTCGTAGTGATTTGTATAGGATTTTTCAAGGTATAACAAAACTTACAGTGTCAAACAGTTTTAATATCATGCTTCTACTTCTATTTCAAATGTGCCCAATCTGTAGTTTGAATCGTTTTTTGTCAAGAAGTGATCCTTACAAAAGATCAAGAAAAGTTGTATCCCCCCAAGAATCATCGTCACAAACCACGGCCAACATGTACGCTCCTCTCCCATTCTGCCCGTGGTTCAACAAGGAGAGAATTCTTCGTAGCTCATTAAAATATTGACCAATGCGAGTAAAGCATAGCCGGATGATGAACTTTATTGCGACCTTTCAATATCCAATCGCAGTATAGGAAATATTTCTTGTATACTGTTGACGTCAGTTGTTGATTTCGATTGCGATGGAAACAAAACTTTCCACTGACTGAATATGACGTCACAATAGAGAGGCGTGAATATTCAAGATTACGACACTTTTTGTGATCAAGAAGCCACGGGTAGGAGAGAGGTATATAAGCGGACTCCGGACCGTGGCTTGAGACGATGCCCAAGAATATGTTTATTCGTCGGTAGTCTAGTGGTTAAGGTGCTGGACTCCAAACCGAAAGGTTGCGAGTTCAAATCCTGACCACGGCAAGTCGACGTTGTGTCCTTGGGAAAGGCACTTTACACGAATTTCCTCACTCCACCCAAGTGTAAAAGGGGTACCTGGCTATAGACAGCGAAAGATATTGTCAGAATGTTAGTGTTCTAGCTCTGAATACGGCAGCTTGCACTGAGAAAGATTCTGGATTGTTAAAGTCTGCTGGGGTAATAATGATTGTAAAGCGCTTTAAGTAGCATTTATGCTAGAAAAGCGCTATATAAATCCAATCATTATTATTATTATTATTATATTTATACATGTATCAAAAGTAGTATTTTAAGGTTAAGTTTACTAGGGGTATTAAGTTTGTTAGTAAAATATCAAGTGATAGCACATCGATAAATATTTTTTTTTCAAAAAAACGTATTTAAAATTAAATATTTATTTCTAAATGTAGGAGTCTTTTAGAAGTTTTATATACTTCAGAAAAATAATGATTCCTAATTCAAAATCGCAAATATAAAATTTTAAAATTAGTTGAATAATGAAGCAATATGAGTATTTGAACCTCCAGTATGGCTGCCAACGTAACTTTTGCTTAATTTAGATCAAATATTTCTGCTTGTAAGGGAATGTTTCCTAATTCAGAAATTCACAATGTTGTATGTGGTTGTTAGAAAAAAAATATCTGTGATGAGGAGTTATATTTCGTCATGTGAAAAAAAGTCATTCTAATTAAAATACTGTTTTAAATACTTGAAATATTAAACTATTTTTAAAATGGTACTTAAAAAACAAAAAAAATAAAAACAACTTTCTCAGTTTAGAACTCATTTGATGTTGGATTTTAATGTATTTTGTTAAATATAATAAAGCAATTACAAAGAAATTTGCAAAAGAAATAGAAAGTAATGTTTCCATCCCATGTTTGATCTCATCAAATTGACAACTCAGAGGTATCAGGAAACTGATTAAGAAAACTGTGAGTAGTATTACTATATTATACTCTGAAAGTTATCTGTCTTATCAGAGGGTCGATATCACTTCAACAATTATGAAGGAATCTTAGCAACCGTGCAATAAAACGGTTGAAATTTTAAGTAAGACAGTATATAATTACCATAAGATGCCCCTCTTTCCAAAATAAATAATTGAATAAATGTTGAATCAACTGTTTTTCAACATATAATCAACATTGATTATCAATATTGATTATATGTTAAGACTTCAACGTTGATACAAATTTTCAAAATCTAATTTAAAATCGATGTTGAATCAATATAGAAAATCAACGTTGATTCAAAATTTATTCATAATGTGCGCCTGCTGGGAAATAGCTAGACAGGAGCAGGGCTTGGAGCATGTGGATTGGCGGACTCAAAAGCATGTAAATATAAGAAAATAATTACTGTCTTATGATTTGTTTTCATGACGATGATCAATCGATTTAGGCTCTATATAAGTGTTTAGTGAGGAAAAAAATTGTGCCTTGTTTCCATTATTTTCAAATTGTGCTTTATCAATTTATGTAAAAAATAATAAAACAAATGTAGCCCTTTAATTCGGCCAATCCAAATATATATCGACTTTACAGAAAAGCATATCGACCAAGCACGAATGCTTTTCTGTGCAGACGATATATCTATGGATCGATCTCGTGAAATATCTATATTTATATACGAGTATTCATAGCATTTCACACTAAAATATGATAAATTTCTTTTTTTCATCACAAATTCATTCAAACTTAGTATTATCTAATGACGGAATTGGACAGGTTTCATTGAAACATTCTTGCACTTTCAAAAATTTTAATTTCATACTAAATTTTAGATTTTTAAAAAGTGGCAATCTTGTTTTCTATTAATGGAGCAAAATCAAATCTATCTAAGAACTTCGAATTCAAAGTAGAGGGCATTTTAAGTATCATATGATAATTATAACGTAATTACCGCTACCAAAAAGTTTCCTCGATAAAATGATTACTTTTAAAACGTCATTTTAATCACCTTGAAGTGAAGTTCCATCTTAAATCTCTGGAAAAAATAATACTCATGATGCTCATCTTCAGATGCCAGTGAAGCGTACAGTTCTTCCGCCTTAAGGGGGATGTACGGCCACCTTTAGTGCAGTAAGAACAAAATGTAAATATTTCTTCAAATGGCTAAAACACATTATATTTTGATCAAATTTGAAGTCCTAATGATAAAGATACAATAAATATGCATAACTGAATGCATATTGTGCATGTATAATCTATACTCATGCAGAAAAATGCTTTTGATATGCTCTTTAGAACTGCGCAACTACAGAATTCAGCAGAGCCTTAAAAAATCCAAAAAAATATGCAAAGCGTGCATTAATGTTCTCTCTACAACCATTTGTCAAGAAAATATCTAAATTTTGCACTTTTCAATGGTAATTTCAAGTTCAAAACATGGTACTGTTGTCTTCGAAATGAGTCTAAAAAACCATGAAAGTAGTTCATGGATAACAGCACGTGGTCTATTTTTAGCACAGAATTTTGTTTTCCAGACCTCTTCTTAATACGGAGGCACATAATAATCTTAAAAAGTAGAGGAGAATTACAGTTGCAAAATGTTTCAAATGATAAGCACACTTTGAAATGAGGAAATGTGTTATAGTGTGGCTTAAAGTAATTAGTATTATTATCGAACAGTTGTTAAATACTTGTTGGTATAAAAAAAATTCTTAAACTCTTTGATTACAAATAAGGAAAAATGAGCGCCATCAAATTCAAAAAGTCTGCCACAGATAACTTATTTTATCTTTCAAATGAAACACAGAGAAAATTGGACCGGTCGGCATAGAATGCTCACTCCTCCATAGAACCTGATCCCACCTCTGAAGTTTCGGGGTCCGTGTTTGCTCTGTTCTTATTTTGAATTGTTTTTTTTTTTGGACTTTGAGACTGAATACTGTTTGTTATCTCCCTATATTCCTTCTAAACACAAAATCGATATGAATGACCTTGTTTTAATACCTACTAGTATACTGTGTCAAAAAAACATTTACAAATACAAATTTCTTCACATGCATCGAAGTACCATTTGAATATGAATGAAATCATTCAGCGTGGGTTAGGAGATTTACTGAATGAAAAATACTTTTTTCTATTTGCCCATATTGTCAAAATTACAATTTTACTGAGTAAAGAAAAAAAAATCAACATGATTAATTATTTTAGACCATCTTTAAAATGACGTTTGGTGGTCCTCCCAACTCAGACAAAAATTATTGGGTCCGTATTTATAGGTGAGAAAAAAACTTCCTCAAAATTTAAACATATTTGTTGACGAAAAAAAGGATAAAAAATATCATGGAATGTAAAAAAAAAAATTGAGTCGGGTCATTTCTGGAAGTAGGTTGGGAGAAAGGGCAACCAAATATTTTTATAAAACGTGGTCTTAACAATATAAGGCTATAGTACATGTTCCATCACATACTTAGTAATGCAAAATTTCTGAAGCATTGGCACTATTCTGAAAAACAAACCGTCATAGAGTTTTCGGGGGGAGGGGGGGGTTAGCCTCTCACGCTTTTTTTTTTGCGAAGATAGACATAGCATAATGCAATGGACCTTTCTTTGCAAACATTGTGCTCGCTTCTAAATTTCAAAGAAACAACTCAATGTATTTTCCCAAACTTCGTATGTTAGTGAGAGCTTACAACATGGTCAGCATAATGAGACGTGATGTGTTTTTATGTCCAAACATTACTCCATACAATGTGTGGGTCATCGCAAACAATCTAGCTATGTATGTCAGGTGTCTGAAGGAAATCCTATAACTGACTATTTTTTCTATCTAATTGCTGAAAAACATTGACAGGTGTACCAACTTTTCGAATGTAATACATTTAATTACAATTTGTTTTTCATGCACAGTATATCGTTTAACATTTTTGAATTAAAAGCTAAGCATCCTCCTTGCAGAGCCCCATTTGAAAATAACTTCTATCGCCAAAGAAAAGAGACCGGCCGTAAACACATATATTTAGGACATTTTTAATCTTTTTTCTTTAGTTTTGGAGAAACCAACAAATTATCAAGACTTGTTCCATAAAAAATTAAATATAATCATGGTAATAAACGAATCTATTCACATTAGATATATGCACATGCCATCCACGTGCTCAGTGGATTAATATGAGCGAGGAAACTCGAGCTTTAAACAGAACAGTTTTTCCCGATTTGCTGGTTTGGGGTTAAAATTGCATTTTTTCATTAATCAGACGGTGCGATGCAACAAATAAAAGTAGTAAGTTATATAACCTTAGGATTATTACTTAGTAATTTCTTGTTTTGATGTTGTTATGGACGCATTTATTCTAAATTCAATGTTTTTTTAAACTCTGTGTGACAGAGGAATGGCGGACGCAATAAACATATGACCTCAAGAAGACCCCCATATGAAAAATGAAATTTACAAGAATTATGGATAATAACAAGAAAAAAGCGAAACAAATGGTTGTAGCCATATTATCAATGAACCGTACTGACATCATTTTCGATGCATTTATCATCTCAAGAATGCTGTAGCTGCGCAGTTCTAATCTGATTAATTTCCTTCTAATTAAAACAAAATAAACTCAATTATTTACTAATTTTGGTCTCTAACAGTAGGTTATGAGTACATTAGCACTTTGAGTAACTTTGGGCTAGTTTGGTAGAGTATTAAGAGTATTCTTGGTATTTCTTATTTTACACATGTCTCGATCAAATATGGCTTGTACATCCCCCTTAAATCCAAATGAATTGAAAGTCTGGTCTGGATTTAACAATAAACATGTCGGAGTCTTCATGGATGACATTGCCCCTTGTCCTGAATACCATACTGCCGGGGAATAAAATGTTAACGGGTCACCACTATATGAAAAAGCGTAACCGCTGTATGTAGTCCCAAAATCAAAAGCGGCCACAACCCATATATTGCCAACCGTCTTTAACGCCATCGCAAGCGATGTATGGAAGCGCATGGGTGTTTCTTCCACCAGTTTATAACTCCTTCTGTGGTATTTAATATTATCAGGTCACAGGTCAATACTTATCTCTGTTGAGATTCTGCTGGGCTAGATATTTGGACTGACGCCCACAGAATCTCTGGACAGCCATTAATATTTCATGTCTGGAAATCAAGTCCCAACTTCGGCCGACTATAGCAAGTTTAATTCACCTAAGCCACACAGCTGCTCGCTTAGTGAATCTGAATCAATGTCTTCTGTGGCTATTGAACATCAAATAGAGTAAAAACAGTCTATTAGAACTCTTTAATTGAGGAGGTAAACAATTTCGTTACAGGAGCCATATTTGAAACTGAAATTTCAGTCAATATTTTTATGTTGGGATTTACATGGCTAAAAGGTAAGCAATGTAGAAATAAAAGTGATAGAGAGTCAAATAAACAACCAAATGACTGAATTGAAACAAGCAGCTGTGTGGCTTAGGTGAATTATTCTTGCTATAGTCGACCGAAGTTGGGACTTGATTTTCAGACATGAAATATTAATGGCTGTCCAGAGATTCTGCGGGCGTCAGTCCAAATATCTAGCCCATCAGAATCTCAACAGAGATTAAGGTCAATACGTGACTTAACACGGTGCAATAATATGCACTGGTACATAAGAACAAAAATAATTTGCTCTGTTTGCTTTTAATATAAAAAATTAAACAAAATATTACGCAAGTACAATAATTGTTTTATTAACAATGTAAACAAGTACTTAATATAGTTTTGGGTGATCAATTTAACATATGTACATAGAGAATGTAGGGCCTACACGTAGAAACCAAGCCTTTCTGTTTTATGTCAATTGCACATTCTCTAACGTTTACCCTTGTTTTTATTTTAGAATTGTAGTTTTATGTTCATGATTAGCGATATATTTTTTCGTCAAGGGCAACAGACCTAAGTGATTGTTTGTTCAATCGTTTTGCAATTTGAAAACTTGTATAGAAATGTGTATTTAATTGCTATATAGATTGTATCATATAGTTAGTGAATAGGGAGTTTAATTTAATTTAACATAAGACATGTAAGAGGAAAGGCTGAGAAATAATAGTTACATGTATATAGAGATGACATCTAAATTTATAATTCTTTATGCTCACCATAGTTATTACATGTAATACTTATCAACTGGGTTTCCATTTCTCAAATCGAAAGTCGATTTAAAATTGAATAATAAACCTGGATAATAATAATGATAAAATAGTGAAACGATGCCCTATTCATGTAATTTATACTAACTTCTTGTTTTAAACTTCTTTGAATTCACATAATAATTTTAAATGAGAAGAAATGGTTGTTTAAACAATTTTACTCAATACAAATATTATCGACACCATTGACAACGGCTTGCTGTAAAACTCGAATGTGTAGTTACAGACAGGTACTAGTGCTATTCAAGACACGTGGTGTAGATAAGTTCAATTCTCAGTTTTCTTGGACTTGTTGATATCTCAAATTTTAAAAGAAACCTTTCCCTCAATTCCGATCGGTTGATTGATTTCTCTACCACACATTCTGCTTTTATACAACCCCCCGAGTTCAACCAGTGTATTGACACGGCGCCAAATCCAATCCAGGTCTTCTAGGATTTAACATTGCCATAGATAACGACCGCCACTTTGGAAGGGTATCAACAATTCTTCGTTATATTTCGTACATTGCTATCAGTGGGCTAACGAAGTCATGCACATTTGGAAATGCTTTGTGTAAATCGAGTCTTGAAAGCTATAACGCATAATACTTGCCGATTATATTATTTTTTTAAAAAACGGCATAAAACGCCTTCGACAAAACTTGCTTATCTAGATAGAAGGGGTCAAAACATTTAAATATATGTGCATTTGTCCATACAGATAAATGTCAAGATTTTATGGAATCAAGATAGAGCCATGTTATTCAGTATCGCATCATCGCAACATCGAGATTAAGGTCGATAGTGCACTGACGATGAAGCGATGGCGCGATAACGACGCGATAGCGCTATATTGATAATGCATCTGAGCGATAATAATATGATGACGATGTTGTGGTACGAAGCAGCGATAGTGCGATGACACAATTGAGCGAT